CAAAGGGATCATTTAAATTTTTTCTTCTGTCAACATCTGCCTATGGTTTTCACATCTTTTGGTTATATGTAAGTATTTTCTCTATCTATATAAGAGCTTTTTGACATTTAGAGATGTTAGCATTTAAGTTGCCAAAATTTTTTTTCCAGTTTGCCATTTTTCTGTTGACTTAGTTTTGTTGAGTTTGTATGTGTGTGTGTGTGTGTGTGTGTTCTTGTTTTTTGCTTTTATGATTGTCATGTAATGGATTTACTTTTTTTTTGCACTAAGATTTTCATCTCTGCTAAGAACGTTTTTAGATTATAAAGGAGTTCACACGTTTTCTCCCATCACTTGTGTGATTTCTGTTTTATATTTACATCTCTGGTCTAGTTGGTGTTTATCCTGATGTAGTATGAAGTATGAGTCCAATTTTATCCTTTCCCAAATGTCTATCCAGTTGTCCCAACACCACTTCCACTGATTGGGGATGTGAGTCTGTTTCTGTCCTTTCCATCTTCTATCATTGATCTGTTTATCTACTCAGACACCAGTACCACTGGGTTTTAATTATAGGTACTGAGATATTTTGCCTCTTTACTTTTTGATTAGTACTTGGTAATAACCCCCCCCCCCAATCAAACTCACTCATGGAGTCATTGCAAACTCATAGCGACCCCCTGTGGATTTCTGAGACTGTAACTGTTTACTGAGTAGACAGCCCAGTCTTTCTCCCATGGAGCTGCTAGTGGTTTTGAACTGTTGACCATGTAGATTGCAGCCCAACAGGTAACCTCTACACCACCATGGCTCCCCTGTAGGAGCCACATAATTACATATAATTCATTTGCACCTTTTGTCCACCACCAAATATGTGTGAAAAATGTACATTTCAAGGAGTCTTAGTGGTGTCCACATCTATTCTGTCCTACAGGGTAGTTATGAATAAGAACCAACTTGATGACAGTGGGTTTGTTTTGGGGTATATGTATGTTTGAGTACATGAAGTACGTGCACGTTGGCTCAATAGTCAAGAAAAGAATGCTAGACCACGAATCTGGAAGCAGAACCAGTGCTTCGGGCCGCGTCAGCAAGTCACAAGAGAGCCCTCGTGGCAAGGTTGAGTAAGCACCGGACTGCTAACCTCAAGGTTGGCAGTTTAAAACCATCGACTGTGGAATCTGATCCTGTAAAGCAGGGTCCTCAAACTTTTTAAACAGGGGGCCAGTTCACTGTCCCTCAGACCCATTGGAGGGCCGGACTATAGTTTAAAAAAAAACTATGAACAAATTCCTGTGCACACTGCACATATCTTATTTTGAAGTAAAAAAACAAACGGCAAAAACACCCGGCGTCCTTTGCGGGCCACGTGTGGCCCACGGGCGGTAGTTTGAGGATGCCTGCTATAAAGATTTTACAGCCTCAGAAACCCTGCATAGGGTCACCATGAGTCAGAATCAACTTTCTGGCAGTGTGTTTGGTTTTTTGGGGTAATTCTGTTCTCATAAAGGGTTACTATGAGTCACGTAACCAACTCGTTGGGTTTTTTTTTTTTTTCATTTGTAAGGCACTCACAATGAGTCCTTGGATGTTGATAGAAAGGCTGGATGGGGTTTGGACCCCTCAGGGGCTCCTTGGGAGATGCCGTAGAGCAGGAACAACCTCTGTAGCTTTGCTCTAAATTGGAGGACCCAAAGGCACACAACAACAACAACGGGGTTTGTTTTGTTTTCCTGAATCTGGTTAATGCCAATCTCTTAACAGCATAGCTGGTAACCGTCTGGTATATGGTTAGTTCCCCTGCTCTCCTGGTTCTTTTTGAAATAAACTCTCTTACTGGAACCTAATTGCTTTGTCTTTTCTGCAGGTCCTACTTTGTTCCAGTAGTTTCTTCTGCCCTGTATTTCTAGCTTCCATTTCTCTCTGCGCATGAAGCAAGGGTTGTCACTATTTGACTGCTCAGCTTCCACTGACCTCAGTTGGGGGAAGGTCGCCTCCAGTAAATATTAAATCTCGTTTCCCCCTTGGCAGATAATTTTTTTTTTTTAAGGCTGCTACCAGTAGTCTGTTTCTGTTGTTGTCGTCGTCCAAACGATAACACAGAAGGCAATGTAGCCTGTGGTGTTTGAAGAAACCAGATATGACTATGAATAGAAAACCAGCACCTGGTTTATCCAAGAGAGTGGGTATTTCCCTCTGTCCGTCACTCAAGAGGTGAAGAAAGAAGGTGGTTTAAAAAAAAAGAAGATGAAATGTGCAAAGAGCTCCTTAAGTAGGTATCTTATATGTAAAATGAATAGGTTGAAATAAATCAAGGTACATTAAAGACTTGGACAAATAAAAAACCAAAACTCCCTGCCATTGAGATGATTCAGACTCCTAGGGACTCTATAGAACAGAGTGGAACAGTCCCTGTGGGGTTCCGAGATGGTATATCTTTACTAGAGTGGGTTTACTCAAAGAACACTAAGAAACTCTCAAACTGGCCATTGCTGCTGGAAAACTAAAACAAGTGAAAGAAACGTTTTAATGTGGCAAGCAGAAGAGAACCAGGATGATGTGGCAGTAAACATCCAGATACATAAGATCAAAGAAGGTGCCCCCACCACCCATGCCAACCCCCACCCCAGAGAAAACGTTTCAGTGATCACAAGCCGGGGTTTAACAATCAGTGGAGGATGCCAGTTGTTACTAAAGATGGGACTTTTATGAGACTTTCTTGGAAGACCACCAGTGGCCGTGGAGTGAGTTCTGACTCGTGGCGACCCCCGTGTGTGTCAGAGTAGAGCTACACTCCACACTGTGGGCTGGGCCAGGGGTTTTGATTTTGGTTTTGTGTCCGTCCACTCTCCCGCCCCCATCTGAGAAGCTGATTGCCAGACTTTCTCCCAAGGCACCTCTGGGTGGAGTCCAACTATAACACCCTTTCAGTGAGCAGCTGAGCGTTTAACTGTTAGCACCACTGGGACTCCTCTCGGAAGATAGTGTTACAAAAATCTATTCCTTTTGGAAACCACAAAACTACAAGTGGTTCCTCCAAGACTAAGCTGTCAATAGGGCCACCTACTTTTATTCTAATTGACATGTTGGGGTGGGGGTATGCAGAGAACTTTATTGTCCATCTCTACTTTGACAAAAGGTAGATCCCACTCCTAACTCTGTGAAAACTCAGATTCATCCATTTTCAGATAATGAAGAAAAGATGAAATTTTCCATATCAGGTATTTTAGGAGTCTAGGTGTATAGTGCCAGAAATAAGAATTTAGTGGAATTTGAGGACATCTGTATTTCTATACAATGTTTTTCCTGGGAGAGGGGGGATTGCTTAAAATTTAAATGATGTTTTAACGCATTTTTGGTTTTGTTTTTTACCTTTATAAAAATTCATTTTGTTTGGGTGCTTAAGGCATAATTAATTAACTTTTAAAAAATAATCTTTTAAATTAAATGACTCTTACAGCTCTTTTTACAATCCATACATTGATTGTATCAGGCATGCTTGTATATATGCTGCCTTCATTCATTTCCAGACATTTATTTTCTATTGAGCCCTTGGTATCAGCTCTTTGTGTTTTTTCCCACTCTTCCCTACCCCCACCCCTGCCATGCCCCCTTGGTAGATTATAAATTATTATTTTCTTTTAAATCATTTTATTGGGGGCTTGTACAATTTTTATCAAAATCCATTGTGTCAAACACATTTATACATTTGTTGCCATCATCATTCTCAAAACATTTCCTTTCTATTTGAACCCTTGGTATCAGCTCCTCTTTTTTCTCCTCCCACCCTGCCCCCCCATGAACCCTTGATAATTTCTAAATTATTGTTATTTTGTCATGTCTTACACTGTCTGACGTTACCCTTCACCCACTTTCCTGTTGTCTGTCCCCCAGGGAGGGGGTTATATGTAGATCCTTGTGATCGGTTCCCCTTTTCTACCCCAACTTCCCTCTGCCCCTCCTGCTATCACTACTCTCATTATTAGTCCTGAGGGGTTTATCTGTCCTGGATTCCTGTGTTTCCGGTTCTTATCTGCACCAGTGTACATCCTTTGGTGTAGCCAGATTTTTTAGGTAGAATTGGGATCATGATAGCTGGGAGGAGGAAGCATTTAGGAACTAGAGGAAAGTTATATGTTTCATTATTGCTACCCTGCACCCTGACTGGCTCATCTCCTCCCTGCGATCCTTCTATAAGGGGATGTTCAGTCGCCTACAGATGGACTTTGGGTCCCCACTGCTCAGTCCCTCTCATTCACAATGATACGATTTTTTTGTCTTTGATGCCTGAAAGCTGATCCCATCAATACTTCATGATCGCACAGGCTGGTGGGCTTCTTCCATGTGGGCTTTGTTCCTTCTGAGCTAGATGGCCGCTTGTTTACTTACAAGCCTTTAAGATCCCAAACGCTGTATCTTTTGATAGCCGGGCAGGCACCATCAGCTTTTCTCAGCACATTTGCTTATGGACCTGCTGTGTCTTCAGCAATCATGCAGGGAAGGTGAGCATCATGGGATGCCAGTTTAATCGAACAAAGTGTTCTTGCACTGATCATTCCATTTTCCACAGATGGGCTTTGGATCTCTGTTCCACCACCCCTCATTCTCAACAGTATGTTATTGTTTGTTTGTTTGATGAAGAATAAAGTTTTTTGAGATCAGTTTAAAATCTGTGCTTCCCCCAACAAGTTAAGACCATGCCTACATTTTATGGTATTTGCCATGTTTTTTTCAAGGTAAGGATCTCCAGCCTAACTCCGAATTTATGTTTACCATGTTTATTTACCACTATAGGAAGCATCTGTTTGCTCAAGCATACCTTTTAATCTCTCATTCTCCACAAATTTAGAGTATTTACTTAATACTTGGAATATTATTTTAGAACATGGGAGTATATATTTAATTTCATCTTCTCCCTCACCCAACTTTGAAATGGAAAAACAAAGTTTTTATTTATTAAGTGAACATTTACATACAACTTTTCAAGAAAAATATCTATTAGACAATATTAGGTCCAAAAGTAGATTGCTTGTTTCCAAAGTGGTTGCATTATTGACATACATTCCATCCATATGTTTAAAATGCAATATTGTATACTTTAAAGATAGGTACTATAGCCAGTAAATAAATCATAATGCTAATTTTCATAAAATAAGTTTCACATAACATAGATGGACCTGGAGGGCATGGGCTAGGTGAAATAAAGAAATAAGCACCTAAGGACGAATATTATATGATCCCTCCTTTTTCAGAAGAAACGTTTGTTTGTTTTGGTGTTCCTGAGAGGGTTGTCTCAACAACACAACAGTCCTGGTGCGGGCTGAGCCCATTGCTGACCTACTGGGTCAGTCTGTCTCACGGTGGGTCTGCCCCTTTGGCACTGACCCTTTACTTAGGCAAGCATGCTAGCCTCTTCAGAGCACTGGTCCTTCCCGGTAACACAAGTAGTACACAAAGTCTCACTAGCCTCACTTCTAAGGAGCATTCTGGCTGTACTTCTCTCAAGACAGATTTATTCATTCTTTTGGCAGTTGGTGCTATATACAATATACTTTGTCACCATTCAAGTGCATCATGTCTTCTTCAGTCGTCCTTCAAACATAGACATCTAGAAAGAGATCATTGTCTGCTGGTGGTTCTCAGAGATTGCATAGGGGGAGGGGAAAATACCCTTTAGATCATAAACATTTATGTTTGTTTTGGTGATATGCAAAAAATGGCACCGAATGAGCACCGAATGAGCAAGGCAAAAGTGTGTGTTTGAGAACACATAGGTGGATATGAGCATATGAGTAGGTTCAGCTGTGTACATAGCTGAGAACAGAGAGAAGTGTCTATAGGTACATGCAGATATGTGGGTGCAAATGCATTAAGTGAAGCCACAAATACAGATCCCCCTATGGACATAATCAAATACCTTCAAAGATGGCTTTTCTGGGTTTAAAGCCTAAGGCTCGCGGGACAACTCAATCAATTGCCATAGTTCACAGAAATCATGATCTGTCTCCCCGTGAAGTGAGTAGGACCTAAGATTGTAAAAGCTTACAAGGAGCCACAATAACAGGACTCTTCTTCACCAGAGAAAGACAGCAAGAAGCTAACTGAACGTCATCCACCCTGAGACCAGAGGAACTAGATGTTGCCTGGCAACCAACCTTGAGCATCCTGACCAGGGTCATAATAGATGGCCCTGGATTCAATGGCAGAAAAATTATGGAGCAGACTCAGATTTCACCCCACACCCCACCAAAAAGAAAGACCAAACTGCAGCAGTAGAAAATGAAGGGCTTCTTGCGACTAAGACCCCAAGACACTCTAAAACTGGAGTAGAGTCTAGCCCCATAGCACGCAAAGCAGGCTTCCCATAAGAGTGATACGCCACTTAAAATCATCAGAATGAGACCCTCAGTCACTTAAAAAGCACGGATGAGAAGAAAAGGAGGCAGGGAAACTAGAGGAGCACCGGAAACAGAAGAAACAACATAAGGAGAATATAGACAACTGGTGATAAATGTAACTTACTCACTGAACTCTTTGTGTGGAAATTGTCAAATGGAAACAACTTGCTGGGCAAACTTCCCCCAAGATTCAGTTAAAAATACTGTTCTATCTGTGCACATGTTTTTAAAACAGTTTTCAAGTAGTTCGTGAATGAAAATGAAAAATGACCACCTATTGTTGTTTTATACATTTCATCACATGAAAGAAAACAGAAGATGGGTCTTTTAAGAAAGATGGGAAATCAGCCATAAGCCAGTTGTAGAATTTAAAATTCTTCAGGTGGGAGTGGCAGGGAATCGTTGAACTCTTGACCAGGGTCAGATGGAAGAGAGAGTTCCTGACACTGGGCCTCGGTGGGCTCTGGTGGCGCTCCCATCAAATCTTCAGGTGGTGGGGGCAAGTTAAGTGAGTCAGGGGAAGGTGGAAATGGCTGTTGGATCTCAGCATTGTGATCTTCACAAGTGTCTTTGAGACAGAGCAGAGGTGGTGGAGCATTGGTCGGATCATTTGGAAGAGGAGATTCCATTGTGGGTGGAGGCTCGTCAGACTGCTTACTACCCTCCTGTCCTTCCACATCAGAAAGAGGAGGAGGTGGGAGCAGGTCTACGTCATCTGAGGAGGAAACAGCAGTGCCGATGGTTGTTCCATCAGCACTCTCCTCTGATGTACCAGTCACTTGATCTTTTGTTTTCCCTGTTGTAGGGTTGTTGGCATCTTCCACATTTTCAGTTGATTCAAACAACTTAATTTCTAAGTCATCTGCTAACAGTGTACTTTTGCTGGGTTTCCAGGTCATAAGGGAAACAATTGACATACGTTTTCCAGGCACCTCATTTTCTCTCATGTTATCAATGCATATGTCTGGAGTTTGACCATCAGCAAATGGAGACCTACCAGCCCAATTTTGATCATTTGCAACTGGTTTTCTCAAGCATTTCCATATTAAAATCATGGCTATAGCTACCAGCATCAAAGTCAGAATTACACCGATAGTTATAGCAGCTGTTGAGCCAGAATTAGTTTTATGTGGGTATTGTTTGGGGGTGGTTTCTAGTATGAATCCTGGTGTAACTATGGGTGAATCCTTGACCTTGGAAGTTGCTTGAGCAGTGGATGGCGTCCGTCTGCTAGAAGAGGTGTGAGCAGGTGATGGTGGCTGTTGCACAGAGCTGGAGACAAGTGGTGGCGGTGAGCGTTCGGTGGAAGTGTGAGCTGATTGGGCTGGTAGTTGAGCAGAGGTGAGCACAGGTTTGTCTGTCTGTCTGGAGGAGGTGTTAGCCAATAGTATTGGGTGTCTGGTGATGTTAGAGGCAGGTGGTTGCTCAGTAGCGGTCAGGGCTGCTGGTTTTCCAGCAGAGGCATAGGCTGGCATGGGTGGTCCTACAGTGACTTGGGTAGGTAAAGTTGGTTGGCCAGAAGAACTGTTGAATTGAGACTCCACTGAAGCACCTGATCCTGGCATGCTCACTAGAGTAGGCTGTGGCTGCCGCTCTGTTGTAGCAGCCTCTGTCTCTGAGAAAACGGCGTTGTTCAGGCATCCACAGCAGACAACTAAGATGACATACTTGAGATCCATTTCAGAGTGCTTCCTCCTTAGCAGCATTTTTTAAATAAAGGACAGAAAAGAAAGACAATTAAGGTATCATTGGGGGTCAAAAGTTATGCTTGACTTTTTTTGTTACAATGCCTGACCTAAGGTAAATAAGTATTTGATAAGTATTTATTATTTCTGAATTTGGAATTAATAGACCATACACCAAACCTTGAGTACACACTTAACTGATCATATAGCATTTGAGCCTCTCGCTTCCTCTATGAAATCTGTACCTGCCCTGCTGACCCTCTGCCTCATTACATTGCTCTCCTTCGTTGCACAGTGACGTTTCAGATACGTAGACACTGCGCGCTGTTCCAAAGTGCACGTGCTCGCTCGCTCTCATTTTAGCCCTTTGCTGCTAGAAAGACCTTGATCCTGCTGCCTTGAAGGTCATCAGTGACACCCATCTGGTATCAAAACCAGTGTTCTTTTCGTTTTCTTTGCTTCTTAAGGCCACATTGATACTGTTAACTTTCTCCACTACTATTTGAGTTGCGTTTTGTAAGTAACGCCAGTCTTCCTTTCATGATTCTCGTACTTTTCTCTTCTGCGTCATAAATATGGATGCTTACTATTCTGTTCTCCACCCTATCACCTTGTCTTTGTTCCCACTTCTGTAAGCAGTGAGTTCGCTGTATGTCCTAACTCTCAAACGTACACATCTGGCCCAAATCATCTTAGTTCGCCTTCTCTTTTTGTGACCTCTTGGTGGACATTTCCATGTGTTATCCCTCTAGCAGTTCAACATGTTTAAACCAAATTCATCTTCATCTCAACTCCTCTCCCAGCCTCTCTGTTTCTGTTCATTGAGCCACATCTGTAAGTTTTCTATGTACAGGACCCATGTTATTAGTATTCTTTGCCCCACCCTCGGTGTAAAGCAGCACTGTGCTAAAATTTTTTCTTTTTTAATGGTTCAACCCAAAGTCATGGGCTCCAATCCTGACGTGATCGTTGGCTTTGGCTGCATGCACTTTCTCTAACTGGGCAGTGTTTCAGTCTGTCATTCCTCGAGCTGCTCTGGGTCAGAATCAACTCGACAGCCCCAGCAACCACCGCAGCAGCATCCTGATGAGGTGGTCACACAGTCCTGCTGCTCTCAGTCATTCATTTATTGGCCACTGTTTTTGTGTCGGGCCCTGTTCTAGGCTTAGAAGATTGAAAGGAAAAAAATGATGATAGTTTTTGCCTTTGAGTTTTCCACAATTTAATGGTAGAAATAAATAGGTGATTACTGATCAGAATTTGCTAAGTATGCTCAGAAAGGTCTGCAGAAAATGTACAGAGGAATTAACCTAGCCTGGGAAGGTACCAGGGAAGGTTCCCCAGAAGAGGCAAAATTTCAACTGAATCTTAAAAGATGTTTAAGAATGAATTAAGACTCAAAACATTCTAGCCAGAGGAGACAGCCCAGGGACTCAGCAAGAGAGAGGCAGGGACATGTAAGGCTGGCAGGCTGGGCTTTGATAGTGGGATGCGGTAGGTGCTCAAAATTGAAGAGTTAGACCCAGTTATATTTCTGCCACTTTGCTTATATAATCAAAAGGAATTTCACATTCCCTCCTAATCTCAATGGTGGCTTCATCTCTATAAAGTGAGGAGTTAGGGTAAGACAGTTCTATTTTCAGTTATTTCTTAACATATAGCGAAGAAAGCTCACAAAAGTGCTAGGTTCTGGTGGATATGGTAGGGGAAAGCATGATTAGAAACTTCAGTTTCTCTGATTAGTAGGCCAATTTGAAAGATTTGATATCTTGTTGCAAGCTTACACCCACCCTCAACCTCTCCCCAGCCCCCACCCACCCCACCCACACACACAGTTTTGCAAATACACAAACACTTTCAGGTACTTTTCATTGCTTACCCTCTACCACTTTGTATACAGTGACACTTTAGTAGATGACAGTGTGATATCTACCCCACCCCACCCCGTATTGTCTGTTTTCTGTCACTCCAAACCTAACTTTAAAACAATCCTCCTTGAAACTGTCTTAAATACCCCTGATGAATTCATCTTAAACTCATGTGTGATCTCCTGTTTGATAGATACCTGTTGTCTTCAAGATGAAGTCATTCAAGATAAAAGCCTTAGTCTCACTGTGGGATAAGCTTTGGGCTACAAGGTCAACAGTTCAAATCCATCAGTCACTATGGGGGAGAAAGAAGAGGCTTTCTGCTCTGATAGAGATTTACAGTCTTGGAAACCCTATTTATAGGGTTGTTGTGAGTCAGAATCAACTTGATCAGAGTGGGCTTGGATTTTATTCACTCGCCAATTAATTAATCTTAAACGTATGTATGATCCTCTGTTTGAGAGTTGCTCAGTGCCTTCAAGATAGCATGCTAAGCTCAGCTCTTTAAATGGTTATTTTCGGCATTTTCCTCCATCTGGCTTAAGTTTACAAGTACAGATGGGACAACTCATGATTGAAACTTCTGCAGCCAAATTGCACCCCTTCCCACCTTCTTTCTAAAACACACTTTCAGTTATGCTGGTTTTCACCCAAAATGGGTTATTTCCAAACCCTGTCTCTTCCCCCGCCTGACTGCCTATCTAAACTTATTCTCATCTTTTAAACCTCAGCTTAAATTTCCCTTCCTAAACCCAAGTTTTCTGGCCCGACCGCAGCCCAAACAGATCAGCACTCTCTGAGTCCCGATACTTTTTATTATCTTTGTGGTTCCTTAGATAATTCATATTGTATGTACCTCATTTACTCTTTCAGTCTCTTCAATAGTTATGTTTTAATTATTACTCTTCATTTTCTTTTTATTAATCCTAAAGAAAGCAGGAAGAGACAAAAAAGAAAATAGGTAATTTATGTCAAGCATTCTCTGCTGGTCTACCCCAGCTGTTTTGTTCCCTTGGAAACTTTGTTTCACTTAAAACCTTTCATGACTCTTTCACAGAGAGACTCGAATGAGTGAGACAGTTTGTCCAAGGTTCCATCATTATTAGGGATAGGAACATCTGTTTCCAAATCACAGCTCTTTCTACTCAATCTTACTGCCCCTGTTTTTATATTTTGATTCTTCTACAGCATAATGATAAAAAAATAAGATTATCTGCTCCCATAAAGATGTACAGCCTTGAAAGTCCAAACATACAGCAATACTCTGCCCTACAAGCTGCTCTGAGTCGGAATTGACTGGGTGAGTAGCAGATAGTGATACGTAAAGAGAAGCCTAGTATAGGTTCAGTGTTTACCAAGCCAGACACATGGAAACATACACATCCATATAGTCACTTTTTCTTTTTTCAGTTTTTATTCTTTTTAAATACTTTTTTAAGGTTTATTTTTGTGCCATATTTTTCCTACTAATACTTCCATAAGAATGTAAGCAAATATGGCAAAATCTCAGTTCTGCTTTTTATCAATTTTGCAAATATTTTCTTAGGAAAAACAGTTGAAACTTTAGGCATCAGTATAAGTGCTTGACTCATCTCTATATAGTCCTCACCCATCCACTCTTTTCCCGTTAGTCTTATAAATAACAAAAGGATGAAGGTGGGGGTGGCAGTGAAGAGCTTCATTAAAAACATTGTTCTTCACAGTTTCATTTTCATTTTTTAAAAAAAGCTCCCCGAAGCAACAGAATATATAGGCCACGAATTGTCTTCAGCCAAAAATGTTTCCTCTTTTGATAGTTTGCTTAAAATAAAGAACCCATACTGTTCCTCTTTTCAGTTAGCTGAGCAAAAGCATTAGAAAAAGAAGAACCCAAGTGGGAACAGAATTAAAAACCTAGCTCAGGTTTGTAAGATTGATCTTGATACGTTCACATCCTCTTTCGTCAAGCGGATATAGACAGGATGCTCAATGGGTGACATTTTTGTTTGCCCTTTAAAGATTACAGGGGCATGAAAACCAGTTCCAGTTTCTACCCACTCGACCACCTCCTTTCCATCTTTTAGTTAGCTCTCCACCCTCTGAGGATCTGTTACATCAGGGTGCTGGGATCTGAGTTAGCCTTCCTGCTGTGACAATTCAGAATCATTGAGAAAAGAAGACGCGCGCTTTTTCAAAAGGAGAAACACAAGGCCTAATTGTGAAGAAGCTGACTTTTCCCAGCTCAGTGATACTGAGGCGAGTGTTGGTACCGCTGTGGAAAGTTTTGACTTACATATTCAACTGTTACGTGATGAGTATACCTACAATGATGTTGGCAGGGAGACAGGAAGAACACCATGGAACAGGGGAATAGAAAATAAAAACAACTTGGGATAAAATGAAAAGGCAATGTTTAAGATGTACAAGATAGTAAAAAAGTACATAGAACAAAAATTATAGTAAAAATCAAATACATTTTAAAAGGGGGGGGCAGGCACAGGTAGGCTGACTAATGAAGGCACTGAGAAGAAAAGTAAATGAAAGGTGGAAGCAGGTGCTGGTTAGGTCATTAGAGCCTGGGGGAGAAGACCTGCGGATGGAAGAAGCACCCATGCACTGCTGCTCTCACCACTGGGCTGTGTTTGTGGGTGCAGGGACCCCGTGCCGAGTAGCTGCCTTTCTAACACAGAGGACTCTTTCCAAACGCACTCATCTTTCCTTTCAGGCTCACATTGCTGCGGCGTCTCTGAGTGCCTTCCTCCCTTTGCACCACCTAGAACTTCCCCGAATCATGTCTGCTAATTACTGAAAGAATCGGTGTATACACTGTGGGTGACTTTTCTGGAAATCCCTGTCTACTGCTCAGGCATAATCCAAATTTGTCAAGCTTCAGATGGCAGCATTTTATCCATTATTTTAGACTGGCATTTGGGGGTTGGGTCCTGTGCTTTTCCTGATTAATCTTTTTCTAAAAAATAAGAAAAGGCAGTTACAGTGAAGCAAGAGTCTGTGTGTATTTGAAATGTTCTAATAAACATAATGCTTAATCTAAGGGATTTAGTCATGAAACTAGATGATGCCTTTTAAAGGGTACCAAAGAGATAATAGAGATTCTATATATGCCAGGCCAAAGGCAAGAATAGGCGGCAGTATCAAAATACCTATGTTCTAGTGACTTTAATAGGAACCCTGGTGGCATGGTCGTTACATGTTGGGCTGCTAACCACAGGGTCAGCAGTTCGAAATTACCAGCTGCTCTGCAGGACAAAGAGAAGGCTTTCTACTCCCACAAAGACTTAGCAGTCTTGGGAACCCACCGGAGCAATTCTACCCTGTCCTGTAGAGTTGTTAGGAGTTGGAAACAACTCGATGGCAATGAGTTTTTAATAGAAAAAAGTAACAATGCAGATATAGTAGGCTAAATTTAGTAGCATAATATATATGTTTAACTGGTATAGTTGTGAAACCATAAAAGGAAGAAAACAGCAATTTTATATCTTGAGGAAGGGCTCAAAAGGAAATTGACCTTGAGCTAGTAGAGGAAGTATTTGATACCGATCTTTTATCTGGAGCACCCACTAAATGCTAGGCACTCCCCTGTTTTCATGAGCTAGATGGTAGTATCTTCATCTCGCAGATCAGAAACTTAAGACTGAAAGAGTTAGGTAACTTTACAATGTCACTTTTTCAAGTAGTAGCACTGTTACAGCAAGCATGTCAATCCTGTACTAAAGCCCACTCCTTCTGTTATACTTTACTATCTTTGCTGCACTGCATTTCAGAAGTAAGATTTGGCAGAAGAGTGGCTTATGAAGAAAGGAGATGTAAACTCTCTGCGAACAGGAATGTAAACACTTTTGTAACTAACAGGTTGTAAAGGGCAAGAAAAGAACTTTTAGAATGCCCGCTTTAGTTTTGTGATTCTCTAAAAAGAAAACCAAACGAGTGCTCCAGTTTTGAATGGCTAACCTATGAACTGTCAAAATAAATTTGGGCCAATTTTTAAAACATTGGGCATTGATGGGTCTTAAATTTACATTTAGCAAATTGAAACTCAAAATTCATGAATCCTTTCTAAATAGAATTATGTAGGAATTGAAAAACATAAGCACATTTAAATTTGGACTAACCTTTGAGAAATATAGAGAGAAACCCTATTTAAAAGGAAATACAAATCTTCACAAAGGGACTTCAAAAAAGAATATGGGGAAATGGAATTAAAGGATAGTGGAATGTGTCCATGAAGTTGTTGAAGCTCCTTATATATTTTTTTACTTATGTAATAGAAATCCAGAATTGACTTGTATGTGGAAGATTATGAGATTTTCTGCTCCCATAAACATTAGTTGTGAAAAACCCACAGGAGCAGTTCTGCCGCATCTTACTGGGTCACTGGGAGTCAGAGCGGAGTCGATGGCCGTGAGCTTGGATTTGGGGATTAATAGAAAGACATTCATATAAAATGTCAAAATGGGTGTATTACCACCTGTGAATTTATTATTTCTTGAAATGATCAGTCTGTATAGATACTGCAGTGTGAATTTTGGAAGGTATTTACTTCATAATTGTGCTTTGCTCACAGGTAAGCCTCTCTTAGAAGCGTGAGCCATTTCTGTTTATGCTGTGGGAATTAACAAAAAAGTTTTCTTGGGTATGTCTTCCTTTGTTTACGTCAAGACACAGATAACGTGATATAAATATGTACACTGTGTGGATTTGTATACATACATTTGCTCACAGCATTTTTGTCCTAGCAAGTTTTTAAAATGAGCCATAGTATATTCATCTTAAATACCAACGTCTGTTAAAGATGAAGCACTTAGGATAAGGCTAAAGCACAGTACCTACTTTCCTATTCAAACAAAGTGAAGATAGAAATTAAAGACCATGTAAGTTTCATTGTTTATATTACGCCAGAAAAATGTTAAGACAGCAGACTAGAGTTATTAGCAGTTAGTATCTTGGAGTGTTTCGCGTCATTCATCTCCCATGGGTTCTATCTCAGCCTTAGCTTTATCTGCCACACCTGTGGTTTACATTCTTTTAGTTACAGAACTTGGGTTAAAAAAAACACATTTTGATTGAGTAAACATAAAAGGCTTATATTATGAAAGCCTAGGTAAAAATCTTCCCCCAAGGCAAATAGAGCACAGTATTTTTTATTCCGTACATCAAAGTCACGAAACCTGATAGAGACATCTTTATCAAAGTTGTTTCCCTTGAGTGTAAAATACTATGACACAGTTAGTTTACAAAATAAATTTTACACACAACACAATCATACCCAACTGCCTATGTGAAACTTTCTTACCTCAGCTGTACCTTCTCTTGTAGAATTCTACGCTCTTGTTCTAACTGGACATTTTGGTGATTTGGCTAAGAAAGCAAAAGGGGTGGTCCGATTCAGATCAGAAAGGTCCCCTAGCAAACGGAAATGGTTTCTGGAGAAAAGAGGAAGTTTATCAATAGTCTGTTCCGGAAGTGCAATAAGCCACAAAATGACTAAGAGATGTAAGACTTTAGCAAAACTTACTTCGAAACAAATTTAGAGGTACATGATTTGAGTGCTTTTAATTAATGCTTGTAACTAAATCATTGAGATTCTTTAGTAATATGATTAGAGCATCTCAATGTGGTGTAATTTAAATATTTAGAATGCTCCCCTAGAGAGGGAGGGAGGGAGTCTGTCCTCTAAGGAGAAGCTGCAGCAAGCTTTCTTGAGGACAAATGATGTGTTCTGTTTATTGTCTGACCTTAGCCAAGGTGTTCCCCTTCTGAATCACTATTTTCTCTGGAGGATTAACTGTTCCTTTATTGGATCGTATCGAGGATTGAAAAAGATAACAAGTATAAATGCTACACACACAGGGTAGAACTGTCCCTGTGAGTTTCTGAGAAGGTGCCGTCTTAATTAATGTCCATTGTTTTACCTCTCTAGTTTCTAATACTCTCTACTTGATTCCTAAGGGTTGTAATAACCATTGTGATAGCTACCCAGAACTCATACACGAAATTCATGATTATAAAGCATTTATTAAGGGAAGTTAAGTTGTGATGTCGGTGAGAAATGCTCAGGGTAGTTATTTAACCATGGCATGTTACAGAGTTTCAAATCTGCTCATAAATGCCCAAAGGGGCTCACCACTCAGCTGTAAACCTCAATTCAAGCTCTGTGGGTCAGCAAGCCTAACCTCCCCAAGTACGTGCCCAGAGGGAGCCTACAGTACAAGTCAGCTTCTTGCATAAAAGCACTCATCTTCACTCGCTTCAGGGATTGGGAAGGCCGTCACTGTCCTATGCTCTGCTCTGGCCCCGGGTTCTGTTGCTGCTCCTATGATGGTATAGCTGTCATCTGGATCCGGGAGGTTCACTGGGCAGGGATTTTGAGTCCAGAGGAGCCTCCCCTCCCAGCTCTTGCTGGTAATGAGATCCCTCTTTCTGCTTCTCAGAAGACTTTTTTTATACACAACAGGATGCCATGCCAGAGATTCCAAATTACTCACAGGTGAATCCTGTCAGTATCTCCTCCTCCCACCCCCCACTCCCCGGTTTTACCAGACCCTTGCAGATTAAGGTCCTTTGGCGGGAGTTAGAGACTTTGGCTAGAAGAATTAGCTTTAGCTAATTCTGCCCCTGCAACGACTGTGACTCTTACCAGGCATTAGAAAGGCTCAGCCCAACAAGTAACCACTATTGCTACCAGGCCTCCTTGAGTACCCACTGAGATTAGCATTCTTTCCTGATGCATGATTTAGACAGAGACCAGATAAAAGTTTACTTAAATCATTTTGACCAAATACCTGGCCACAACTATTTATTTGAAATAGGTACTGATCAATGAAAAGTAAAATGAGTTGGGAATTATATGTTAAACAAGATGTTAACTAACGTGAATGAAGTGTAATGAAAACAGTAGAAGTCAGTCAGAATAACAATGTATTTGAACAGCTCACTTAGCCGGCTAGGTGCTTTCTTCATTTGAACAGGGAGGTCGTAATACCTAATTTGCAAATTTCTTATGGGTAATGTAACGGGCCTGGCGTAGTAATAGATACAATACATATTAACCCTTGCCTTCACGAGTCTCAGTTGACTTGGCACCAAGTAGATTTGCTTTCCCTTGATCACTACAAAGGAGCACAGACATTAAGACCTGGTTCGTGGAAAAACGGAAATAAAAGATAATGGAATTTCCCATGAACTTTTTAAAGTCCACTTGCAGATAGAATGTATTTAATATATACATCAACATGAACACAGATGAAACCATTTCCTACATGTACAATTCAGTGACATTGATGATAGTCTTCTAAAGTGTGTGACTTATTCTTATGTTACTTCTGTGTTGTTACTCCCTGGTTACCATCGTCTGGCTGCCCTTAATTTTCGTAACTGGTCTCTGGAGATGCTGTTGTTGTTTAACACATAGAGTAGAACTTAAAAGAGCACAATTCTGAGGCAGATATTCTCTGTATGAAGCTAAACTATTGTTTGATTGTAAAGAAGAGGAAATCCGGGTTCCATGAGAATTTGAGATTCTGTTATTTATCACCCCCTCCCCCTTTTTGATGAGGATTTCTCTATATAATCTTTGACCAAAAATACTCAGTAATGGTAACAAGGCACCACCCAATTCTGGTCTGAAGGCTGAGGAGACAGTTGTCCACAGAGACAATTGGCCATACTTCCATTTCCTCCCAGTTGTTGATTTTTTTTTTACTTTGAACTGCTTTAGCTATTCAGGGACCTCTTTCTATTCTTTATAAAGTTGAGGATTCATTTTTCCATATCTGTAAAGAAAACAAGTTGGATTTTTTTTTTTATCAAGGTGGTATTGAATCTGTAGGCTGTTTTGGATAGTATCTATATCTTCCAGTCCATGAATATGGAACATTTTCCCATATTTAAGTTCTTAATTTCCTTCAGCAATGCTTTATCATTCTTATTGTATTAAGTCTTTCATATTCCTGGTTAATTTTGTTTTTAGGTGTTCTCTTAGATCCTATTGTATGGAATAATTTCCCTTTGAGATTTCTCACTGCTGGTATATAGACCCAACCTTTTTTTTTGTTTACTGACCTTATACCCTACATCTTTGTTAAATTCCTTAGTATCACTGGAAGTTCCATGTTAGACTCTTAGGGATTTTCTATATGGATTATGTGTCCCACAAATAGAGATAATTTTACTTCTTTTGTAATTTGGATACCTTTTGTGTCTGACCAGGACTCCTAATACAATATTAACTAGCAGTGGCAAGATAGGCATCATTTTCTTGGTCCCAATGTCAAATCACTCACTTTTTCCATTAAGTGTGATGTTGATGTTTGTCTTTTCTTTCTTTCTTTTTATTTAATTTAACATTTTTATTTTGTGTTGTATGCTACTACAGTGCTTTAGAACGAGCCAGACTTCATAGGAAATCAAATAACATGATTTTGTATATATTCTTTTAAAAAAATACTTTTATTGGGGGCTCTTACATCTCTTATCACAATCCATACATTCATTCAGTGTGTCAAGGACATTTGCACATATGCCGCCATCATCATTTTCAAAGCATTCTATTCCCACTTGAAAAGTCAGGTCTCCATTTCTTCCCCCTCCCTCACCTGCCCGCCCACCCTCACGAACTCTTGATAAGTTATAGATTATTTTGTCCACATCTTACATCGTCTTCCGTCACCTCTCCCCCACTTTTCCATTATTCATCTCCCTGGGAGGGGGTTCTAGATTGAGCTTGTGATCAATTCTCCTTTTCTCCCCCCACCCTCCTCTAATCCTCCTGGTATCTCTACTCCTTGTTGGCCCTGAGGGGTTTATCTATCCTGGATTCCCTATGTTGCAGGCTCTTATCTGTAGCATTGTGCATGCTCTTGTCTAATCCAATTTGTAGGGTAAAATTGAGGTCATGATATTGGGGTGAAGGAAGCACCAAAGAACTAGAGGAAAGTTGTGTGTTTCTTCGGTGCTATACTGTACCCTGACTGGTTCATCTCTTCCCTGTGACCCCTCTGTGAGGGGATGTCCAATTGTCTACAGATGGGCATTTCCACTCCATGCTGCCTGCACACACACACACCCCCAGTCACCTTGGGTATGGTTTTATTCTGGGTTTTAGATGCCTGATACCTGATCCCATCTACACCTCATGATCACACAGACTGGTGTGCTTCTTCCATGTGGGCTTTGTTGCTTCTGAGCTAGATGGCCGCTTATTTATCTTCAAGCCTTTAAGACCCCAGACACTATATATCTTTTGATAGCTGGGCACCATCAGCTTTCTTCAACACATTTGCTTATGCACCCATTTTGTCTTCAGTGGTCATGTCAGGAAGGGAGCATCACAGAATGCTGGATTGTTAGAACAAAGTGTTCTTGTGTTAAGGGAGTACTTGAGTTGAGGCCCAATGTCCATCTTTAACCTTAATTCTTAACATATAGATATGAGTTCTATGCCACTCTCATTTTATAGACACACACACACACATATGTACATGCCTGTATTTAGGCATAAATGTCCTTTGCCTCCTGGTTCTTTCCTCGATTTCCTTTTTACTTTCCTCTTGTCCCACCATCATGTTCGGTCTTCATTGGGTTTAGTAATTCCTCACTGCTACATTGCCCTTGATTGAACCCCACTAGGCATCCTATGACCTTCCTTCCCTTGATTTTACTTCACTTATTTTCCCTTGTCCCTAGGTTGGTAACCCCCCCTTCCTTTCTCCCACCTCCCCTTCTCCCATATCCCCCCGGAACCATTGGTCCCGTTCTTTTCATCTCTGAATTATTTATCCTGCTTAACTTATCTAGATAGACATGCAGATACATTAATAAGTGCAAAAACCAGGCAAAGCCAAAGAAAAGGACAAAGGGAGCCAAAACCAACACAACAATAACAACAAGAGCAAAAAACAAAAATAAAATAACAATTACAAAATGAAAGCCACTGACAAAAATGGAAAAGCTTATAAATATTTCAAGGTTTGTTTGTTGGCTTTTATGAGTATTTTCCAGTCGAGTCTGATGGGACTGTTGACTTTTCCTATGTGCTCTGAGCCTCACTCAGCTACTTTCCTTCTCCCATAGTCCTTCCTAAGGGTAGACCTCGTTCTTATTTAAATACTTATACATTGTTAAGAAAGGAATTGCTATTTTGTTTCTTGGCATAATATACAGGTGAATGTACTTAAAATGCTATAAACTTTTGAGTCACTTTAAAATCCTTAAATTTATCTGGTGGACTATAATAATCAGAGAAAATGAACATTTTGTTTAAGAATAACTTACTTAATTGGAGCTCAAAGATACCTTGCCTGTCTTCTTTAAATGCCTGTCACGTGTGGAACGGAACAACTTGTTATGTTCAAGGAGTGTCCTTGGATGCCCTCATCAGAGGATGGACGTCTAATAACCAAGCAGGAGTGATGAATTTTAAAGATGTCTGCCATTGAAAACTTGGTTTTATGAAAATAATTTGGCCTGTGTGTTGAATATAAGGTCTACTTAATTGTTATTTTTAAAATGATACAACTTGTTCCAAATGATACAACTCATTTCTTCTGGAAATATTTATTTATAATATTTTATTCAAGGAGTGCTTTGTAGTTACCACTATTTGTTCTAATCTACAATCTCAGATTTTAAATTTATGAAATATTGTGCTTTGCCCCGTTTTATTTATTTACAGCGAGGGCCACTGTCCCCTCATTTTAAAATATAACCCAGACCGTTGGAACCACAAAGCTTTGAGAAACCAATCCGATGACCAAGAGCAATGTGGCCTAGTGTGGCCAAAATGACCAGTGCTTGGAGCTCACCCACCCACTTGAATTACTTATGATTCAGCTGGAGTTCGGTGTTGATGTTTCTACAAAGCTTTTCAGGTGGTTCCAGTAGACAGTCCGGAGGAGAAACACTAACGTGCCAGGAGAGAAAACCGTGGTTGTTGCAATAAAGCGGGGAAAGGCTGGCCCATTGCCCACCTTGAAGACCCAGAGAGGCATGAGAGTTTAAACTGTGGCCTCGGCGTTAGTTGTTGTTCCCTTGCCCTGTGTCCGTTTTGAAGATGATGTCTTGGTTTAAGTATAAGTCATTATTTTCCTTCAAGCTAACTTTTTGAGGGTTAAATAATTAGACTTTCTATATTTGATCAAAACTCACTCCCATACCTCCTTTTTCTTATGTCACATTGGATATTACTGAAAATATAAAGAGCAGATATTAAACAACAAACTTGGCCATCTTTCAGGCTACATTGGCATCCTTGAAGTCCAAAAATTAGACAGATTTTGGAGAGTTGCTATTAATATTCTAATAAGCTTTTATAGAAGAGAAATGCATGTTACACTTAAAACAGTAAGATACACTTTACATTTACAGTTAACCTTCTGGTGTGGCTACAGATCTCATCTGGTTAGGCGAGCCTGATGTCACATTGATCTTTATAGCATGTTCTCTAAGAATAAAATCAGTACAGATATACCTAGTCACCGTTTTATTTTAACTAGTCTTCATTTATTATACAAAATTAAAATGTTTAGTATTTGTAGTAGAAAAACCATTTCTGTTGCATGCCACACGCAAAGATGCAAACATCTAGCCTAATATGAGCTGTGTTGCAATATGAACTGGTAGGGCTTCTGTGCCACAATCAGCAAACACAAAAATGCACCATTAAAGCTATGCAGTTCAATGCTGTACATTAGGAATTCAGCTTCCATTAGGTGCTGAAGCATATGCTTGGCTCCAAAGTCCTCAAGTATAATTATATTCAAAGAACTGAAGATATGTATTCAATGTCTCCTTCCATACTTCTACTGGCCAGCTCTCTTGACATCTTACAAACCTTACCCAAATGCTTGCTTGTCTTATTGTTTCCTTTTTAAACTATCCAGTGTCAAGACAAAGTGCACAGTTCAAGTAATTCCGTACGCAGGCTGCTTCTCCCCCTCCCACCTGCTGGAATCTACATAGTAAGGCCCCACGTGTCAGGTTTTCGACCCCTAGACCAACACTTTGGCATTAAATACCAAGCTTCATTTTCACTCCAAAATCTTTCTCGCTGAGCCTTGGTGATTTTCTTCATTCAGGCATCTGTTAGCAAGGGAGTGTTTTTCGGTTCCTCCTCCATCTTTTCTTTCCCTTGTAGCTGTGAGCCCTCCTGTGGATTGCATCATTAGGTTGGGCCCTGTGAGCTGCTCTGCTCTTTTCCAAGTGTCTGAATCAGCCGGCCATAGACCACTGCTTGCCAGAAAATCACCATTGCTTCGAGGCTGCCGCTTGCCTGTTTGTTTTGCTCTTCGGAGAGTTGAGACTTTGTTTGCCAGAATCACCGTGGAGAGAAATAGGAGGGTGCAGATGAGAAAAAGCACTGCGATGATAATGAAGCAAATTAGCATGGCCATTTTGTGGTTGTTCTCATCACAGGCATCCTCTTTGAAAATCCCACTGTGACTCTTGCTTGTGTTTTCAATGTTCTGTACGGCTGCAGAACTCTTCCTGACCACAACAGGTGTGTAAAGCTCCTGCTCAGATTTAGGAGTTGAGGATGTGATGGGAGATGTTGTTGCTCTCTCAGGCTGGCTTGTAGAATTACCTTGATCACCTCCATCAGGAGCTGGAGGGTTTGTGGTAGTGTTTTCACCTGCCTTGTTTTGAATAGCTGGGTCCCCAACAGTATGGTTAAGCCACAGGTGGGTATGGTTGGCTTTTGTTTCCACGGCGAGGGGCAGAAATGTCAGCAGGAAGGCCAGGTGGAGGCACTGCTCTGTGAGTTCCATGCCCGTCAGGGACAGCAGGTAATCTGTTGAGGAAGCAGTGTCATTGGTTAATGTGGGAAAGAACCCAGGTTTCTAGTTTGGGCGAGTATAGGTGAGAGCTTACCATTTACTCAACTGGTGCCCTGCTCAACTAGCATGTGTTTCTTGTTATTCTAAGGCTTTGTATAAAGAAATGTTCTAAATCCTGTCACATTTTTAGATGCTGGAAATTAGCATTACAAATAACTGTTAATCATTTTACATTGAATACTTTCTGTAGTCTCTTCCTTTCAAACATATTAGACTTCAGCTTTGAGTCAGTTACTTCTGCTTTTAACTTTTTTGATTCCTCCTTTTAAAACAAATAAGATTGATGATTCATTCTGCAGAAACTCCCCACCCTCTAATAAATGTGTCATGGGTCTTAATATTCAAGGAGAAAGTGCCCATGAAGCACTTTGTGCTTCGTGCATGGTCTTTTTTTTTTTAAAGTGGGGGTTAAGTAGAAACAAAAGAAAATGGACTTCCCAAGGGGATGAACAACAGAAACGTGGGTGAATAGGAGACAGTGGATGGTGTGAAATATGAAAATAAAAATAATTTATAAATTATCAAGGGTTCATGATAATTATGTTATCATTATATATCGGGGGTGGGGGGGAGCTGATGCCAAGGGCTCAAATAGAAAGAAAATGTTTTGGAAAACATATGGCAACATATGTATAAATGGTGATTGATACAGTTGATGTATGGATTGTTATAAGAGCTAGAAGAGCCCCCAATAAAATGATTTATTAAAATTTAAAAAAAGAAAATGGAGTTCTAATAGGAGTTCAGGGTGTTCTTTTGTTTCTTGTATATTTATCTTGAAGCATATAACAAAGTTTACAAAAGAAAAATGTCTTCCTAGAATTTGTGAAAGCAGTTCTTTCTCATTCCTTTCCCTTGAGTTACATACAGTGCCTGCTGAAAACAAAGGCTTGCTAGTCCAATGTCAAAACTTGCAAAGAAAAAGAAACGGAATTGGGGGGGGCGGGGAATAATCCCAAAGACTCACAGAAGTTACTGATTTTTGTTCATCATCCTTTATATTTAGCCTTTTTCTATAAATTTAATTTTGAAAAATAAATTGTATAATTAAAAAAAGTAGAAAGAGTTTCAGAATCGTAGGGATTTAGAATGAAGTGGAAAACAAGACTACAAGCGCTTCAAAATTAATTGAAAAAAATGAGTGACAATGTTCAAACTCTGAGCTCCTTGGAAGTCAGTACAAAAAGGAGGTGGACACGTTTTGTTCATAATCTCTTATTCACCATATGAAGAATTTAAATAGAAGTGGCATGTTTATTAGAGGTGCTGGTAATCCAGCAGGAAAGATTTATCACCATCATTCAGATAACTTTTCTATAATATTTTACCAATTTGTATAAGCTAATTTGATGAAAATATTTTAAGGGAACTAGAAACAAAGAAACAATAAACTTCACTGTTCTCCTGAGGTTTGCAAAATGAAGTTGCGTATGTAAAACCCCAGTGTGTTTTATAGACATTCTTCTCAAACTTAGAAGTACATGGGTGCCATCAAGCTTTGGGGGTTTTTTGTTTACTTTTTAATGCAGATTCTGATTTAGTGGGTGTAGAGTGGGACTTAAGATTCTGCATTTCTCATCTCCCAAATGATACGGCTACTATGGCTAGTCCAGGAACCATGCTTTTGAGTGTCAGTTTTAGAAGAAATAGTTTATTATATGCCATTAGATGGCATCAATATATAGAAATTGAGAATAATAAATGTGATAGACTGAGCTATAGAAACAAAAGTAGCATATAGTAAACAAACGACAAGCTAACCTCTACGGTGATGTCTTATGTCCATAATAGGAAAAACTCTCATTAATTGTTCTAGAATTAAGATTATTTTGTAGGTTAGAGAGCTAAAGATGCAGTACAGTGATTTTCATGTAACAACACTCAGCTTCAACTTTTAAATCAAATGGCATAAATCGAGCTACTCTATGATTTTTGTCACAAGAATTTAGGTTAGCAAATGATTGCTATCTTTTTATACTAAACGACTTCTCCATTAGATGGTGAAATGATTTAAAGTGGGTTATTCTGGTTACATTAGTTCATTAACAATGTAGGATGCATCATAGCATTCAGACTCACTTCTCAGAGCTTAACCACGGGATAGATAATAGGGCCGCTGTTGATTGTCTTCAGCCAGATGTACTGTACTACCATCCCCAAGTAAACAAACTGTTGACAAAGTAGAGTTTCTCCTTATCCTTACAGATGCTGAGAATTGAGGATGGTCTCTATACCATCAACTTATGCCTTGGAGGTCGGGTTATATTATCAGACATTTTCAATAAAATTAATAATGCCTAAGTATATTAGGCATGAGAAATTTTATGTTTAAACTTTTTCCCCCCAAGTGAGACATTCCAAACTGAGCTTCTTAATCTTAATTTAAAACTCCACATCAAGTAAATCTTTCTACTTCCCGTGTAAATTTTACTTACTAGAACAGGAGGTAAAGGCTACATGTTCAGACGCTGCTTGGTTAGTGCGATTCTTCAGTACCATTTGGAAGCACTTCCTTGAGCAAGACTCTGTACAAAGTTATAAAGGAAAGGGCATAAGAAAAGCCAGATATATGACCTACCTTATGAAATGCTTGGCCAAAATCTGTTTCTAATGTGAGTTTAATAAACCACGTCTTTTCTTGTCTTGAAGCACAGCTTCCAAGTAATTTAGAGCTGAACAGACTTGGCGATTAAGAACCTTAAAGGAAATCGGCAGTAAAAGGCTATGTACTGCTAGCTTTCCACTTGTAAAGCCAAACCACAGATGGGTGACACATTTCCTTTCCGCTGCAACTAAAGCTTGTCAGAGGGGAGGGAAAAAACCTCGGCCGCTGGCATGACAGGAGCCTTTGTCGACTAAATCCCGCCTCCAGAGCAGGGAAGCTTTTCCACTTACAGCCTTTTGACCTTCTGCTCTTGTACATGCCTGCATCAGATGATCATTCAGAAAAGATTATGCGACGGCATCTTCTCTGCAACTTAAAAATCATAACTATAAATAGTATTTGTATACCCTACACCGATTTGATAACATGAGTTGGAGACCCGGGGTATTGGCCCAGTAATAGAAATAGTGGTTCTTAAAGTCAACAGCTCAAATCATGGAACTGCCAGAGGATTTGGAGAAGAACATGCCTTTGTGTTTGTATGTGATTGAAACAGTGACAGTGTCGAGGGATTCAAGCACAGCAGCACCTGGCAGGATGGCACGGGGCTGGGTAATGTGCCGTTCTGTTGTACACAGCACCATTATGAGCAAGACGGACGTGACAGCTCCTAACAGCACCAGCAGCAGAGTAGATGTGTTTTTTCCTCCCAAGTGGTGCTTCCTTGTTAGCTGTTTCTGTTCCTGATTGCTGCATCCATTGTCACCTCAGCAGAGGCTTGATTCACAAGTTTTCCTCATTCAAGTCCGTTCTTTCAGCCCTGCTCAGCCTTTAGATAGTATTGATCCTTGCATTATTTTCTTAGGTCAATCTCTTTCCTATTTTTGCTGTCATAACAGTATTTTAGACGCTTATTAAGCCATAATTAGACGATTACTGTAATTTTTTATTAACCCCCTCTCAACTTCATTTCATTTTGTATATATCACCCTCTGTAACCCGTGATTCAGGAATGCTTGTGCACATAAGTCAGATAAGAAGATTGTTTAAAAACCAAGAAAAGTTCCAGAGCCCACTCCATAAATTCATATTTAATAGGTCTGGGCTGCAAAAATCTCACTGCCATTGAATCATTTCTGACTCGAAGCAACCCTGTAGGACAGGGTAAACTGCCCCTGTGGGTTTCTGAGACTCTTTGTGGGAATAGAAAGCGTAGTCTTTCTCCCGCCAAGTAGCTGGTGGTTTAGAACTGCTGACTTTGTGGTTAGCAGCCCAACTTGTAACCCCTTCACCACCAGGGCTCCTTCCGGACCAAGAAAGTTCAGTTTTATCAAGCACCACAGTTGATTCTGATTGATGCTGGTGATTCACAGCTCCGACTATGGAAAAGACCCTGAGTCCCCAGGGAAAATGGAAGCCCTTTGGTTGAACAGTTAGTTGTCTCTTCACGGTTAATGTATTCTGTGTTTGTTTCAGCTTGCTCTCTCCAAATTCCTACATGAATCCTCCATTTCAGCTAAGCTTGCTGACGATTCCCTCAACACATCCAGTTACCGGTTTCATTTCTACTTTGTCTCTCTGTGAGGCCTTCCTGTTCCCTCGTCTTGTCGCATTCTAGTCTCTTCTCTTACTCAGGTCAGCCCTGCATATTCTAGGTAGCTTTCATTGACTACCTACTTCGTATTGATCTCACCCTGGCCTGAACCCAACGCTGTCTTTTTCTCTGTAATGATTATATATTGCCTCCCTTCTCTTAAATTTTTCTTTTAAGATCCTTTAGCTTGCCAAATTGTATCTTATCCCTTCCAAAAAGAGTAAGAGGAGGATATTTATTATATTAAAAACTCTCAAAGTGAGGATATTTATCTTAGTCTGCTTTGTAGTGTGTCACCACAGAGTCATCAAATGTAGAATATTATGGGGCATGCTAAGATGAGTTGTTTTCATTTGAAATTCTAGTAACATGTTCTTTAGGGCTTTCTCATGGTCCTTATTACAGCTTCTGAAATCAGCTAGTACTCTTAATGGTTCTAAGTACTGCCTGTCCTAACATGGCTAAATGAAAATAATGGTGAGGCATTATCTAAAACTCAAATTTTATAGTCAGGGCCCATTTCTCAGCCCTTCCTCAACAGTTTTTTGACCGGCTTTCCATTCACATTCTAAGAGATGAGCTAGCAGCTCCCGTGGCTACATATTTCCTTATTTATAAAGAAAAGGTCTCATTTTTTAGGAAGTAAAACCCAAACCCTTGATGTAGGCTTCTTTGGTCGCGCACTTATTGGTGAGCCCAGCTCTCTGGTCCAGTTGGGTACTAGGGTAACTGACGCCGTTTCCAGGAACCCCTGCTAGTGTCGGGCTGCTAAGTGTCAGGTTAGTTGCTCCAGACTCACTAGCTACTCTGGGAGAGAAAAACATAGCTGTCTGCTCTTGAGAGATTTACATTCTGAAGTCTTAGATGGGCTTGTGCAAATCCGAATTGACGGGGTTGGGGGTGGAGTAGTAAGCCATTTCCCTGTACTCCAAGCTCCAGTCATGCACGCCCACACTGTTCAGCTGGGACATTTGAAAGGCTTGGAGACAACCATCTTCTATTTACTGCTTCCCTGGCCTCATGCCTTGATAGGGAGGTTGGGTTGTTTGGGGTTATGCTGAAGATTCATCTCTTCCTAGTCACTAAAGAACTGATGGAAAGATTGGATCCAGACTTTGTGTGATTGTGTTACATTGTTAGTTCTTTGTGTAGAACTACAGAAAACAAAGGAATACCATAGATTCATGATGCTTATTTGCATATTCAGAACCCTTTTTGTCCTTTTTGTCATTTGTCTTAGGTTCAAAACGGGCCAAATCAATGGTGACTTGCTGATATACCATGTCTTGCTGACTTTAAAGCCATATTATGCAAAGCCATATGAAATTGTGGTGGACCTTACCCATACTGGGCCTAGCAATCGCTTTAAAACGGACTTTCTCTCCAAGTGGTTTGTGGTTTTTCCCGGCTTTGCTTATGACAATGTCTCCGCTGTCTACGTCTACAACTGTAACTCCTGGGTCAGGGAGTACACCAAGTATCACGAGCGGCTGCTGACCGGCCTCAAAGGCAGCAAAAGGCTCATTTTCATCGACTGCCCCGGGAAGCTGGCCGAGCACATAGAGCACGACCAACAGAAACTACCGGCTGCCACCTTGGCTTTAGAAGAGGACCTGAAAGTATTCCACAACGCTCTCAAGTTGGCTCACAAAGACACCAAAGTCTCTATTAAAGTAAGTTTCACTCTGTTACAGAAATGATTCATCGCCTTTCCTCACTGGCCAGACTTCATCCTGGCTCTCTAGGTGACAGCCCCACCCCCGCCGGAGTTAGTCAAATGAGAAGTCATTTCAGATGTAGGAAAGGCAAGACAGCGCTTCGTGGAGGTCTGTGGAGGATGTAAGGGGAGGATACTTCACTATGTCCTAGAGCTGGGAAATTTTGCTCTATCTTCCCACCTACAAATGGGTAGGAAAGTAGAGAATGGAAATTACCTGGCCAGAGTTGTGATTAGTCCATGGTTTTTGCAGATTGCAGAATAGCTACAAAATCAACATAGCATTGGTCAGTAGGATTCTTCTCCTTTTTTAAAGCAAAACGTAAATTTGTTTTCATGTTTTCAGTCTTTTAAGAGCATTTATAACAGTCATTATTGACTCTGGTTGAATATAAAGTGGTGCTAACTCTTCCTTCGATAGCAAACATGGTGTTTTGATTGATTGGTGGTTGGTGTGGGGTGCCTTTCTAAAGTCTACACGGGGTTTTAATTTTTCTACCCCACCCCCACCCCAACTATTACCTTCCAGGTTGGTTCTACTGCTGTCCAGGTCACCTCAGCGGAACGAACGAAAGTGTTGGGGCAATCAGTCTTTCTAAACGACATCTATTATGCCTCGGAAATCGAAGAGATCTGCCTAGTGGATGAGAACCAGTTCACCTTAACCATTGCAAACCAGGGCACACCACTCACCTTCATGCACCAGGAGTGTGAAGCCATTGTCCAGTCTATCATTCACATCCGGACACGCTGGGAGCTGTCACAGCCTGACTCCATCCCTCAGCACACCAAGATTCGGCCAAAAGACGTCCCTGGAACGCTGCTCAATATCGCTTTGCTCAATTTGGGCAGCTCAGACCCTAGTTTACGGTAGGTAGGCCCCTCATAATCTCACTTTAACTTGCTTCAGGGTTTGCTGCTTTTAAAATGAAATCACTTAATAACCTTTTCAAGCAGTTTCTATCTTAAGACTGTAAATAGGAAGGTATGCTATGTTGGTTAACCAGCGTGGCTGCATCAAGTTCTAGGGTATTCACATGAGCTTTGGAATTCTGGATAAAATGATTCACGCTAAACCAGGGTATGTTCTTTCTCCAGGAAACTTACATCTGAAACAGAGAAAATGTTCCTTCTTTAAAAGATCTACCCCTAAATTAAGTCTCTTCTCTTCTGAGCCCTCTGATTAAATATCCCCATGTTCAGAACTATGTCACTATTAAGTTTCCTAGCAGTCAAATCTGGTTAGCATTGTTTGACAAGGAAGGCTTGTTCAATAACTCAATAACAGTATTACATATTTTCCATTTAATATGACTTTAAAGTTCTTGAGCAAAATCTTAAGACAAATATAGATGGCATCAGAGTACAGTGTAATTGGGTCTGTTTCGGTCTAGTGATTTGAATGTGGGTATGGGAAGAACATGGACTGTGGGGTCAGGAGATTTGCTTTCAATTGAGGTCTGTCACACTCTCTATGTCTGACTTTGGGCAAGCCACTGATACTTTCTGAGCTCCAGTTTCCTCGGTTGTAAAACAAAGTTAGCAATGCCTTTCTTCCATGGCTACAGGAGTTTAATAAGTATTTGTGGGGGGGAAAAAAAAGAAATATTTGTGGCACCGTGGGTTAGGTGTTGGACTGCTAACCATAAGGCTGGTGGTTCAAACCCATTAGCTGGATTTATACAACTGTCTGCTCCTGTTTGGTTTGTTTGTAAAGAGTTAACAGATTCAGAAACCCTATGTAGAGTCACTGTAAGTTAGAATCTACTCGGTGGCAGTGGGTTTGTTCTTTGTTTATGTTAGTATAGTATTACTCTTAGCAAATAGCTGGTGTTCAGTAAATGTTAGCTCTTCCCTCCTGCCTTTTTCTCCCCTCAGATCTTCATGTCCCTTCTTCTTTTCTACAATTACTTTTTATGTTAGGATAATTCCTTAACGACCGACCGTCAAGATTTTTACCGAAAAATATTTGTAGTTTCAGAAGAATCTTCCCTCGAGTTCATTAACATACCCAAGTATTATATTGAGCCATTTAGGAGTCCAGCTCCCCTTACTTAAAAGGGGAAACAAGTACCACAATGATTCCTTATCTTACCTGACCCCAACCTCCCAGAAATTGTAGGTAAGATTTGTGTGATCTCAGAAGGTCTGTGGCACCTACCCCTAGGTAGAGGAACTTCATTCCTTTAGAGCTTCTTAGGATTCAGAGTCAAACACGTGTGAAATGGTTCAACTCAGAGAGATCAATTTGAAAAGAGTAACATTAAGATTCTCATTTTCGCAAAATGGAACTATCAACTTGTCTTTAGGTTAACAGCCTTCTCGTATTCATTAGCCTGAGGGAATAGATACTCTTCTCTAGTGGAAGACAGCTGCTTCCTTTCACCAAAAATTGTCATCCCAGGGAAGAGCCTCTACGTGAACTTAAATTGCAGTGGCTTTTCCCTGTGTGGTGGTTGCCTATATACGAGCATGATGAAAGTTTAGAGCTAATGAAAACCTGACATCTACTAAGTAGTTATACCATATCTTTACGATCTACTGCCATTGGGTTGATGCCTATCCAGACAGGGTAGAACTGCCCCATCAGGTTTCTGAGACTAAATCTTTTACAGATCAGGCAGCACCAATGAGTGACTAGTGGGTTTGAACCCCTGGCCTTTTGGTTAGCAGCTAAATGTGGAACCCACTACACCACCAGAGTAGAGGAGAGAAAAAGAAAAATTGTAGAATTGAGTTTGAGTTGTATAGACTGTCTCCTAAATTGTTTAAATCTAAAGACATTTATAAGAGAATTTGGGATTCTAATGGAATTTGGATATTTTAGATTGTTTCTTGTTTTCAGTGGTTAATTTAGACGAGATCAGATCAGGTGTGTTCAGGGTGGTACGGCCTTGGACTTCAGTGGTTATTTTATAATGGAAGATGCTTAGAAAGGAACAAAGCAGTTACTTAACTATAAATTAATTCCTAGTGTAACTTGGACACCCAGACTGAAATGTACTCGATTGACTTTCAATGAGAGACTCCCTGATGATTGTATTGCTGCTGGTCTGCATTGTAACCGGATCTAATGGGAGGAAGAACTGAATAGTCTGGGTTTTAGCTTCCTTCACTCCTTCCCCAGGGTAGCTTGTGTCTCTGGAGCCGCCTCGGGCGGCGAAGCGCTCTCAGGTTTTGTACTCCAGGAGAACATCTCCTAGAAAGGAGCCTCACGGCGCCTCCCTTCTGATGTTATCCAGAATGTCCCTCTAAAAATGCCTACCTGATCCAGGGGTATTTGGGTTTTTTTGTAGAATTGTAATACTTTATCCTTAATTGAACTAAGTGATCATGAAATTTTTAAGTGGCTGATTATGCTTTATAATAGAATCACAAATTGTACTTTAGAATTACAAAGGAAAATTAGAAAGATGTGTTAAAACAACTTCATTTTGTTTTCTTCTAGGTCAGCTGCCTATAACCTTCTGTGTGCCTTAACTTGTACCTTTAATTTAAAAATCGAGGGCCAGTTACTAGAGACATCAGGCTTATGCATCCCTGCCAACAACACCCTCTTTATTGTCTCGATTAGTAAGACTCTGGCAGCCAATGAGCCACACCTCACCTTGGAGTTTTTGGAAGAATGTATTTCTGGATTTAGCAAATCTAGTAAGTAATGCTAATTTTCTTTAATACTAACAGTGATCCTGAGAAGATTCGGAAGACTTTGTCATTTCAGATTTTGCCAGTGGAGCCATTCACTTGGCCAGTGGCAGAGTGTGATATCTTAACACGTCTCTAGACATTCCCAGTGTGTTTTCTCATCATGTCTCAGTTTAATTGGTATTGGCATTTTCTTCTTGGCAGAAAATGCCAGTTGAGTAGACAGTAAAGAACCTGTGCTGTCTTTTCATTTTAGGGAGAAGTCTAATCACGTTTTTCTCATCTTCAGGTAGACATTGAAATGTGACATGAACTAGGTGTCGGGGCACATATGCAGAGTTCAGAGTCTGCCCTTGGACTCGGCTTTAATACATTTCATACCTTTAACACTTACGCTTTGCAGCTGTCCATCTTCATAGAGTAATAGAAATGTTGCTCTCTCCCAGCCTGTTGCTTAACAGTTTCTTCTCTTTTCTTCAATATTTCCTGAAGCATTCAAACACATTTTAAAAATATTTTTCTGTGCTAGGTTATTGATAGCTTTGACGATTCATTGAAATTTGATACCCTTTAAAAAAATAAAATATGGAAGACAATAGTCCTAATAAGAAAATATGTGAGTTAAAAAAAATAATATGTGAGTTTTTAAAAGAAAGAAAAGTATAAAGCTTGAGGTATACTATTGTGAAAATATTTGAATGGATATATAGGCATATCTTATTCTTAATGAAACAGTTCTTCCCAGATCAATTTACAGATTCAGAGCAATCACACCAAAATAGCTATGGGATTTTTGGATAAAAAATGGAAGTAGAATTTAAACTTATTTGAAATTTCACTTGAAAGTATATAAAACAGCCAAGAAAATATTGAAAGGAAAGGAAACTGAGGGAGCACATTCTGATGTTGGATGATAACGTGTGATCAGGTGGTAGGTCTGTCAAAAAGAAACAGATCGATACAGGAGCATCAGCCATGCGATGGAGGGGGCACTAAATCCTCTGACACAAGGTTGAGATGCTAATCAAGCGAGGTCGAATCTTTGCCACAAGACACCAAAATAGATTACTTAAAAGTAAAAACTAGAATTTCTTTTTTTTAAAGGATGACGTCATTATTTTCTAGGTAAATAATAAGAACTTGTGAAGCAAAAAAGCGTTGGAAGGAAAAGGGGAAGAAATTTGAAAAGACCTCTATGTTTTTACAGATTACAAGATGAATTTTAAATGTGGAATACACTTGTTACGTATATGAGAAAAGGTTAATATAAGTGATCTCAACAATTTCTTGTAGGTTAACAAAAATTTATCGACATTAGCATTGTTAGAAAAGACTGCTTATATTTTAAGATATTTCCTAAGAAATTCAAAGAAATGCAAATTGAATAGTGAGATAACATAGTCAGCTATCAAATCGGTGAACTACTAAAGTATCCAAATCTTAAAACAGCCTGATGAATTGTACATGCGAATGAATACATTAAATAACCACCACCCAGATAACAGTACAAAACATTTCCAGCATCTAGAAGACGCTCCTCTCAGCTAACATGCCATTGCCCCACCAAGGGCAACAACTATGATGACCTCCATTGCCAGAGCTTAGTTTGACCATCTTTAAACTTTATAGAGCTCTACTTATGATAGCAAAAAAATGAGAGCAACTTAAAATTCCAGCAAGAAAGGACAGATTAAAATACAGAATGTAATGATGGAGTGGCACAGTGGCTGAAACACCAACAGTGGAGAGGAGGACACGGGAGTGCGTGGTGTTTCATTCTGCAGTGCAGAGGGGACGCTCTGAGTCGGAACCGACCGACGTGATGGCCCTAACAACAATGATGAAATAAAAGGAAGTCACGTAAAAGGAATTTTTTTTTTTACTTTTTCATTTCCTTAGGTTTTTTTTTTATCCGCTTTTCTTTCCTGTTTTTCTTCCTCTTTTTTCTCTCGTTTTTTTATTGGCAGGAGCACCTTGAGCTCCTGGGAGGGTTCTGCGACCCAAGAGTTAGGTCAGGGAAATCACCAAAAAGGAATTTTATGCTATTGTTGTATCTCTTTATAAGTCTCAAATTATTTCCAGATAAATATGTTAAATGTTTTGGGGTAAATGTTAATTATGGGTGAAATCTCAATGTGTTTAGAGAAATTCTAACTTGTTTGAAAGTCTAAAGATAATTCAGGTGCCCCAATAATATATTAATATTTTCTTTTCCTTTTATCAAGTTTTTTTTTCATTTGCAATATTTCCTTTAATTTATTTTAAGTTCTATACATTTATATGCTACTCATTTTCTTCAACTACCTATTCTTTTTATTTTAATCATTTTATTGGGAGCTCGTACAACTCTTATCACCATCCATACATCCATCCATTATGTCAAGCACATTTGTACATTTGTTGCCATCATCATTCTCCAAACATTTGATTTCTACTTGAGCCCTTGGTATCAGTTCTTCATTTTTTTCTCCTCCCTCCCCTCTCCCCCCTCCCTCTAGAGCCTTGATAATTTATAAATTATTATTATTTTGTCATATCTTACCCACTCCCTTCACCTACTTTTCTGTTGTCCATCCCCCAGGGAGGAGGTTCTATGTAGAAACTAGTAATCGGTTCCCCCTTTCCACCCCACCCTCCCAGTATCACCACTCACAGCACTGGTCCTGAAGGGATCATCTGTCCTGGTTTCTCTCTGTTTCCAGTTCCTATCTTCCTATCTGTACCAGTGTACATCCTCTGGTCTAGCCAGATTTGTAAAGTAGAATTGGAATCATGAGTGTGTGTGGGTGGGTGGGGGGGGGTGTTAAGGAACTAGAGGAAAGTTGTATTTTTATCGTTGCTACCCTGCACTCTGACTAGCTCGTCTCCTCCCCAAGACCCTTCCATAAGGGGATGTCCAGGTGCCTACAGATGGGTCTTGGTTCCCTACTCCACACTCCCCCTCATTTATAGTGATATGATTGTTTTTGTTCTTCAATGCTGGATACCTGATCCCTTCGACACCTCGTGATCACCCAGGCTGGTGTGCTTCTTTCCATGTGGGTTTTATTGCTTCTGAGCTAGGTGGCTTCTTGTTTACCTTCCTTTTACCAAGTTTTCTATGATTTTCAAATGTTCTTACAGTAGAACTCAGTAAAAAAAAAAATAACTAGGAAAGAAAAGGTTTAAAGCGGGAAACTAGAGAGAGAAAACTTTTCCAAAAATGGCTTGCTGGTTGTTCAGATTACTTTCTTCCAGATTTATTATCCTTTTTCTCCATCTCTGTCTTCAATATGTGCCAGATCTCCTTCTCCAGGCTTGACTTTTATTTTTTCCCCTGATCCCTTATTAAAAAATAGCTGTTGATGGAATTTTCCTTGACCTGACTTTGCCCATAGTGTTTTGTTCTGTTGTTTTCCAGGCATTGAATTGAAGCACCTTTGTTTGGAATACATGACCCCCTGGCTGTCTAATCTAGTCAGATTTTGTAAGCACAATGATGATGCCAAACGACAAAGAGTTACTGCTATTCTTGATAAACTGATAACAATGACCATCAATGAAAAACAGATGTACCCTTCTATTCAAGCAAAAATATGGGGGAGCCTTGGGCAGGTATTAAGTTTGTTCAAATACATGTACTACAACTCCTTTGTACGGATGTTTACACTTATTAACCCATTTTGTGTCACACACTGTGCTGGGTACTGATGGTGTAACCGGAAAAGACTGTCCCTTCCTTCAGAAGGCATGCAGGCACCCACTCACTGTTTGATCTAGTTCAGGATGGTCAATGTATGTCTTAAAGCAGGGGTCCTCAAACTACGGTCCGCGGGCCACATGTGGCCCGGCGAGGACATTTATCTGGATCGCCGGGTGCTATTGCTGCCGCTGCCTGTCCTGCTTAGCAGCCAACTCGTCCAGTGAGCATAGGAATTTGTTCATAGTTTTTTTTTAAAACTATAGTCCGGCCCTCCAACAGTCTGAGGGACAGTGAACTGGCCCCCTGTTTAAAAAGTTTGAGGACCTCTGTCTTAAAGTAAGAGAAAAACTAATTATTTAGAACTCTCCTTCGTAAAAGAATTTAACTGTAGATATTTGATGATGTTTCTAGTAATTAGGGCTTTAAAATATATCCTTGTACCTACACCCCATGGGCACCAGAAAAATCTTCAATTTTGAGTTCCAGTATTCATTGATTGTTTTGACATAAAATTGAAAATAAAACCCAAAGCCCTACTACCTTTCTGCCCCTACAGTCCATTCTGACTGATAGTGATTCTCTATAAGGTTTCTGAGGCAGTAAAGCTTTACAGGAGTAGTTAACTTCATCTTTCTCCCTCGAAGCAATTGGTGGGTTTGAACTGCCAATCTTGCAGTTAGCAGTCCCTGGGACTTTTTTTTTTTTTTTAGCATTAGAACATCAAATATTAAAATATAGGATGTAGTGAAACATTTTTTTCTGATAAGAACCATGAATATTATTTCTTTAAAATAAACATAAAGAAGCAGTGCACCTACTCAATGTTGTGAATCCTCCCAGTAATTCAGAGTGCCCTTGGAACCAGGCTTCACCTCTGAGATGTCATTTCCTGACTTGATGGCAGCGAGTTGAGTTGATTGATCATATATCACTGTCTTTAAAGAGCGCAGAGATGCTGTGCAAGTGAACAAAGATTGGATAGATGGATAAATAAATAGATGGGTAGATTTTAAATGTCCTTAACCTGTTTCTAGCTATTTAATGATAGATTTGCTTACTAGACTAGTTGCCATTAAATTGATTCCATCTCATGGTGGCCCCATGTCTGTCAGAGTAGAACTGTGCTCGATTTGTTGCAATGCCTGGTTTTTCAAAAGTAGATCACCAGGTCTTTCTAATGAAGCTTTTGGTTGTACTTGAACCTCCATCCTTTTCAGTAGCAGCCAAATGTATTAACTACATAAAAACTCTTTGTATTTTTAGAGACCCACTGGTAAAATAGGATTATCATCTTTATTAGAGCCCTTCTTGAGTATTATAAATTAAAAATTGAGTTGGCAGAGTAAAGTGTAAATTAATTTTTCCCCTTCTCCTAACAGATTACAGATCTGCTCGATGTGGTGCTAGACAGTTTCATCAAAACCAGTGCTACCGGTGGCCTGGGGTCAATAAAGGCTGAGGTGATGGCAGACACTGCTGTCGCTTTGGCTTCCGGGAATGTGAAATTGGTTTCAAGCAAGGTACTCGCTTTTCCTTTGCCTTCTAGACTGTGGGGCAGTTTATCAGATAGCAGGAGGGTTTTTATTTTATAACTAGTTGTTTTAAAGTTAAGTTGAAGTTTTTTGTGATAGAGCTTTGTTTCATCACCACGTTTGTAAAAATCCTGCCTTTGTTTGTTTGTTTTTAAGGTTATTGGAAGGATGTGCAAAATCATTGACAAGACGTGCTTATCTCCAACACCTACTTTAGAACAACACCTCATGTGGGACGATATTGCTATTCTGGCCCGCTACATGCTGATGCTCTCCTTCAACAACTCCCTGGATGTGGCAGCTCATCTCCCTTATCTCTTCCATGTCGTCACTTTCTTAGTGGCCACAGGCCCACTCTCGCTGAGAGCCTCCACCCACGGACTGGTCATCAACATCATTCACTCTCTGTGCACTTGTTCACAGCTTCATTTTAGTGGTGAGTTCTAAGACTGTAATTGATGTGTTTCACTAACTCCTTTCTCCGTTTGTTTTGTACCACCTCACTACCATGGATGATTCCCCCCCACCCCCCCACTCCATGCATGATTTTCTGTGCTAATTTAAGCCTGCAATAATGATAATGCTTCAGTATCTTCAGAAGGAATGAATTACTTAGCATGAACTGCTATTCCATATCAAGCTGTAAGATTGGGTTTTTGTGCATATTTGTCATGTATGCACTCATAAATTGTCACATAAGCTAAAAACGTAGCATCCGTATGCACTGTTCATCACCAGCACTCATTTGTGTACATGAACATTTTATTTGGGGAGCCTGGTTAAGTAATTTTGATATGATACTCAGATTTTCTCCATTTAAAATAATGAAAGTGAAAAGTGAGTGCCTTCAAAGTTTCTCCTTTATCCCTTTTCTTTCACAGAAGAGACCAAGCAAGTTTTGAGGCTCAGTCTGACCGAGTTCTCGTTGCCCAAATTTTACCTGCTGTTCGGCATTAGCAAAGTCAAGTCAGCTGCTGTCATTGCCTTCCGGTCCAGTTACCGGGACCGGTCTTTCTCTCCTGGCTCCTACGAGAGGGAGACCTTTGCCTTGACGTCCTTGGAGACCGTTACAGAAGCTCTGCTGGAGATTATGGAGGTACATAAGGCACCAAAATAAGAAATCACATGTAATCGTTGGGGTTTTTTTTTTTTTAAATCCACTAGTACTGTATAGAAGAAATATTGGTTCGTTTTGTTTCATACTTAATGTATTTAAGTGAAAACACAAACTGTGTCTCTTGCTAGCATGTGTGCCACTTTATTTGTGTCTAAAAACATTTTTGTCCAGAAATATATTCCAAGTATTCTTTGTTTAGGCATGCATGAGAGATATTCCAACCTGCAAGTGGCTGGACCAGTGGACAGAACTAGCACAAAGGTAGAGCTCAATTAAATTTCAGTTGTAAATGTGCACAGAGTACAGAAAAGCTAGCCATTGCTGCAGAATCAATATTTTGACTTATTTTTAATCTATGTATCAAATACCTATGCAAACATTTCCGTAAATGGTTTGGCTCTTCTCATTGTAGATTTGCATTCCAATACAATCCATCCCTGCAACCCAGAGCTCTTGTGGTCTTCGGCTGTATCAGCAAACGGGTGTCTCACGGGCAGATCAAGCAGATAATCCGTATTCTCAGCAAGGTACCCCTCCCTCCCTCCATATTTGTACCTCCCAAGTTGTGGAAGCACGTCTTTCACTTTTCTAAAGGACATTTAAACTTAATAAAATACCTTGGGGCTTCTTAGTAGACCTTCTCAAAGTGGATTTTGATAATTTATTATGTTTATTAAAATGCTTTAAAGTGAAGAAATTATCTCTAAAGAAGATATTTTAAGAAAACAAATATGAAAAGAAAAAAAATAGAAACATGAGGGGGCCTCAAAAAGTGGGTGGAACGCTTTCATTATCTTTTAACTCCCATTTTCCCATCAACTTTGTGATGTCCCTTCATCTTCATCTTTTTTGCTAAGCAAATCTTAATATTTTTATTAGTTTGCAAAGCATTTAGCATATAGTAAGACTCTAGCCTTCTGTGAAATGATGTAATTTGTGGTTACTATAATAATGCCCGACTTACTCAGCCGGCAATATTTTTAAGAATAAGAACCTAAACTAGCTACCAAGACCACCAAAGCATGGAAAATAATTTTAGCACTTATTATCAAATGAGCTAAATGTTCCTGAAAGGATGCTGAGATTGTTAACAATTGTCTTACCAGTTAATCTTTTACTTCACTGAAAACAAAATGAAGAATTCTGTTTCTCTAATAGGCACTTGAGAGTTGCTTGAAAGGACCTGATACTTACAACAGTCAAGTTCTGATAGAAGCTACAGTGATTGCACTAACCAAATTACAGCCCCTTCTTAATAAGGTAATTACCATAGAGAAGATGTAGGTATTTATTTGGGTATGCATTTCAAATGCTATTTTACTTCAAAGAGCTCAAAATAAGGCTGAGAAGATAGTATTATTTAAAAGCTATTATTAAAGTAGAAATTCTTGTTAAGTTAGGCTGTTTGAAGTCTTTACATTACAGGAGTTAGAAAAGTCACGTTCTCAAGTGTTGTAAAAAAGATTTTATCTCTGAAACAAATTTTTTTTTTCTCATCAGTGCTAAAGGAAAGATAGGCATATGTTCTTAATTCTTATATCCAGTAAATGTAGATTAAGCAGCTGCTGTGTGCCAGGTCAACAGAGCCAGTAAAATTCCCACCCTCACATTCTGGGGTGGGTGGATAATAAAGAAAGAAAGTACATCCTATGCTTGTTAGTAGTCATCCCAAGGAAGTATAAAGCAGAAAAGGTAGACCTTATAATCACATGCGTGTGGGTGCTAAATGAAGGTGATTTCCAAAGGGGGTAAGTTGTGGCCACGTTTGAGGGTGGCCTGAACTCATCTCAGCTCTGTGACCTTGGGAAGGTGCTGTAATGTTTCTGAACACCATGTTGCCACATTGTGTTTGAGCAACAATAGACACCAGCATGGTACCCTCTTCGGAGTTTAAAGATACACGCTTCTATGAGTTGAGTACTAAGAGATAGCAGACAGAAGTGCAGAGAAGTGAAATTTTCTTGTGTTTCTAGTTATTAATCAGATGCGTTTCATCAGTTTTAAATGCTATTTTCCTTCAAAGAATTCAGAAATAACCCTGAGAAGTTATTAAGAACAATCTATACTTAAATTAGACATTCTGGCTATCGAATTGGGCTGTGTGAAGTCTTTATATTAGAAGATAAGGAAAGCAGACAACCGAGAAGTGGGTGAAGGGAGACGTCGGACAGGGCAAGATATGACAAAATACCAATTTATAAACTATCAAGGGCTCATGCGGGAGGGGGGAGCGGGGAGGGAGGGGAAAATGAGGACCTAATGTCGGGGGTTTAAGTGGAGAGAAAATGTTTTGAGAATGATGTACAAATGCACTTTACACAATTGATGTGTGTATGGATTGCGATAACAGTTGTATGAGCCCCTAATAAAATGTTAAAAAAAAAAAAGAAGAAGATAAAGAAAGTAAGTTCTCAAGATGGTTTCCTCATCCTTATAAGCAGAAGGGCTAAGAAATGTGTCCATGACTGCAAGTCTAATCGACGACAAGCCTGTGATTCTAACCCACGTCTGTCCGACTAAAGTCCATTTCTCTTCCTCCATACTACACTGTTACAGAGAACAACCTAAAAATGAAGATTTTTAACTCAGAGAAAAAAGAGATTGCTTTACTGGTAAGAATGAGAGGGGAAGTCTTAAGCAGCAGAGGTACACTGGTAGGATTATACCAGAATGCCACAACAGTGGAGTTAGGGTGGGTAGATCATTCTAGTTGGTTTGGAGAAACCACTCGGGAGCATAGTAGGATGAAAGCTTATAATGATTAGATAGAATTAATCTAGCACTCGTGTTCCACAGAAAGCAGTTTGAGGGACAGCCCCTGGAGAAGGACAGCATGCTCAGTAAGGGGAGGGCAGTGAGAAAGAGGAAGGCCCTCAACGAGACGGACGGACACTGTGGGTGCAGCTGCGGGCTCAGTCTTAGGACCAGTTGTGAGGATGGCACAGGGCCGGGCAGTGTTCGTTCACTTTGTGCTTCAGTCCATGCGCGACCACGGGGCCGAAGTGACTGGGCGATGTCCAGCAACAGCAGCAGCTTTTCCACAGACAAGGCATAGGACCCAAGCAGGACTGAACTCAGCCTGAGGGGCTTCGGGACAATAACCCCCAACATGGAGTCCAAAGAAACTGGAGATGAAAAGAACCCGCATTAGAATTTAAAAGGGTCTTTTAGGACAGGGCCATTAGCAGTAAGAAAGAAATGGCAGGTGCAAAAGGGACTGCTTAGGGAGAATCAGCAAAACATAGCGAATGGATATGTGCCAGTCAAAAGAGATGGTAAGATTTTCAGCCTGGCCAGCGGTCTATAGTTACGCACATGGTAAAACAAGAGCTTATCCGTATCTTTCCTTTCCTAAAAAACCTTGAGTAATTTGGGTGACTTACGGGCTGCGTTTTGCACTGTAGTGTATGTGAACACGATTACTGCCCAGTTCATTTGACTGACCTGGAACGTGCTTCCTTTGCCAGGACTCCCCTTTGCACAAAGCCCTCTTTTGGGTGGCCGTGGCTGTGCTGCAGCTTGATGAGGTCAACTTGTACTCGGCAGGCACCGCACTTCTGGAGCAGAACCTCCACACCTTAGATAGCCTCCGGATATTCAACGACAAGGTCCGTGTGCTCTCCCTTGGGACGACTACGCGATTCACCTGTAGAATGCCTCCCTCGGTGTTTCTAGAATGAAATTTATTTGGAGTATAATTCCTTATGAACAAAACCCCCAAAACTTGCTGCCATCGAGTTGATTCCAACTATAGGACAGGGTACAACTGCCCCTGTGGGTTTCCTGGACCTCAAATCTTTATGGGACTAGACAGCCTCATCTTTCTCCAAGGGGTTGGGATGAGAACCCTTCTTTCTTAATGCACTTTGATTATTTCTGGGGTTGTCTTTGAACAGTGGTGGCTAGAGTGAAACTTAGCTATTGGCAATTAGTAGGTTAAAAATATTTCCAAATGTCATTTGACGTTTATATCTCAAACTTTGGTATTTTCATTGCCAAAACTGTCTAGAAGCAGGAGTCAGTATTGAATCCAGTGGCGCAGGATGTAGATTTACCAAAGCTTCATTGGAAGCTGCCACGATAAGAAGTGATGGGGATCGCTCTTTCATCTTTTAACCACTGTATTGTTTATTTGCTTCACTCTGATGTACTGATTAATTTATATTACCTACACCCTCGGGGCGTAGAGTGTTACACACTGGTCTGCTAACCACAAGGTCACCAGTTCGAAACCACCAGCCCTCTGTAGGAGAAAGGTGAGGCTTTCTACTCCTGTAAAGAGTTATGTTTTTGGGAATCCACGGGGGCAGTTCTACCCTGTCCAGTAAGGTCACTGTGAGTCAAAACTGACTTGATGGCAGTGAGTTGTTGGGGGTCTTTGCCTTTTAGTGGTTTTTGTTTGTTTGTTTTTTGTTTTTTTCCTTCAGTGTTCTCTTATCGCTTTCTGCTGCTGGTGGTAGTGTTGTTACATATTATTAAGTCGGTTCTGAATCAGAGCAACCCACAGTGGAACTGTACAAAGCACTGCCTGGTCCTGCATCATCCTCACAATCTTTCTTACGTTTCAGCCTCTTTTCAGTCCATATGGTGGAGGGACTTCCTCTTTTTCACTGCCCTTCGACTTTACTAAATATGATAGCTTTCTCCAGGAACTGATCTCTCCCGATATGTCCAAGTACTTGAGACAAGGTCTATCATGCTTGCTTCCAAGGAGCATTCTGGCTCCACTTCTTTTGAGACAAATCTGTTTCTTCTTTTGCAAGTCCATGGTACTTTCAGTCTTCTTGACCAGTATCTTAATTCAAGTTCATGGATTCTTCTTCCGTCTTCCTTATTCAATGTCCAACTTTCGTATGCATATGAGGTTGACTGAAAATACCATGGCTTGTCTCAGGTTCACCTTATTCCTCAAAATAACATCCTTGCTTTTCAACACTTTAAAAAAGGTCTTGTGCAGCAAATTTACCCCAGGCAATGCATCACTTGATCTTTTGACTGCTATTTCCATGATAATTGATTGTGGATCCAGACAAGAAAAACCTTGTCTACCTCAATCTTTTTGTCATTTATCATGATGTTAGTTGTCGGTCCAATTGTGAGGATTTTGTTTTCTTTTTTTAACCCTAAATTATTATCCATACTGAAGGCTGCAATCCTTGATCTTCATTAGCAAGTGCTCAATCCCTTTCACTTTCAGCCTGCAGGGTTGTGTCATCTGCCTATCGCAGATTGTTAAATAAGCCTTTCTCTATTCCTAATGTCTCATTCTTCTCCATTTAACCCACCTTCTTTTATTATTTGCTCAGCAGGCAGATTGAGTATATATGGTGAGAAGATACGACCCTGGCACACACCTTTTCTCTTCTGAAACCATGCAGTGTTCTCTTGTTCTGTTTGCACAACTGCCTCTTGATCCATGTACAGGTTCCACATGAGCAGGATGAAGTGTTCTGAAATTCCCATTCTTATCAAGGCTATGCATAGTTTGTTAGGGTCCATGCAGTTGAATGCTTCTTGCACAGTCAATAAAGCACAAGTCAGCATCTTTCTGGCATTCTCTGCTTTCAGCCAAGACCCATCTGACACCAGCAGTGATATTCCGTGTTCTAGGTCCTTTTAATCCAGCCCGAACCCCTGACAGATCCCTGGCAGTTCACTGCGGCACCTGTTGTTGGATGATCTTCAGCCAATGTTTACTTTCATGTGATACTAATGATTCATTTGAGTTGTCTTTCTTTGGGATGGTTACGCCCATGGATTTCTTCTAGTCACTCGGCCCAGTGGCTGTCTTCCAAGTTGCCTGGCATACATGAATGCGTGCGTCTAGTGCGTCATCAGCTTGTTGAAACCTTTCCATTGGTAGTCCATCAAATTTTGAAGCCTTGTTTTTGGCCAATGCTTTCGGTGCAGCTTAAACCTCTTCCTTTGGCATTGTTGGTTCGTGCTTACATACTACCTCTTGAAGTGACTGGTTATAACAAGTTCTTTGTGGCACAGTGACTGTATTCTTTCCACCTTCTCTGATGCTTCTGGCATCCTTCAATATTTTGCCCGTAGAATCTTTCAGTTTAGCAACTCGAGGCTTGAATTTTTTCTCGAGTTCTTTCAGTTTGACATGTACTGAGCACATGCTTCCTTTTTGGTTTTCTCACTCTTTGCACATTCCATTACAATATCTTACCCTGTCTTCTCCAGCTGCCATTTGGAATTTTCTGTTCAGCTATTTCTTCTATTTGTCTTAGGTACTCTGTGTGTATGAGCAAGTTTCAGATTTGCCTCTGACATTCACTTTTTCTTTCTTTCCTATCTTTTTAATAAGCTTTTACTTTCTTCATGAATAATGATCTTGATGTCACCCCACAGCTCATCGCTTCTTCTGACATTAGTGTTTAGGGTCTTGAAAGTCAGGTGCGATCTACGCACGGTCGCATTGTGACTCTTGTGGACTTGTTTTCATTTTCTTCAGCCTCACTTTGAACTTACATGTGCAGTTGATGATCTGCTCCACAGTGGGCTCCTGGCCTGGTTTTAGCTGCCTGGCATTGAGTTTCTACATTATCTCTTCACATAGATGTAGTCAAGCTGATTTCTGCGTATTCTGCCTGGAGAGGTCCGTGTTGCCTTTTGTGCTGTTGAGAAAATATACTTGTGATGAGGAAGTTGCTGGTCTTGCAGAATTCTAGCATATGCTCTCCAGCTTCATTTCCTTCACCAAGGCCATATTTTCCTTCATCGTTGTTTCAGTTTTTGTATTCCAATTGCTAATAGTTATTAATGCATCTCGAATGCATGTTTGATCACTTTCTAACTGAAGATGTTGGTAAAAATTCTTCAGTTTCTGCATCACTAACCTTAGTAGTTGGTGCATACATTTGAATAATAGTTGGATTGATTGGGTTTCCTGTATACTGATATTATCCTATCACAGACAGCACTGAACTTCAAGGTAGATCTTAAAATGCTCTTTTTGATGCTGAGTGCAACACCATTCCTCTTGAGTCTCTTGTTTCCAGCATAGTAAGCCATACAATGTTCTGATTCAGAATGGCCGGTATTAGTCCATTTCAGTTCACCAACACCTACATGTACATCTGTATGTCTTCCATTTAATTTTTAAAGGCTTCCAATTTTCCGAATTCATCCTTCATACATTCCAGGTTCCAATTATTAATTGGTGTTGGAAGCTGTTGCTTCTCATTTTGAGTCATGCCCCATTAGCAAATGAAGGTCCTGAAGGCTTTAGTCCCACAGGCTTTCCTCCATCCACATCATGAAGGTCAGCCCTTCTTTGAACTGGCCGCCCTTCCTCAGTCATTTTGAGTGCCTTTCGACCTGCGGGCTCTTCTTCTCCACCAGGTCTGCTGATGTTCCACTGCTAGTTATGAGCTTTTCAGCGCCTGGCAGTGTTTTGATGCTGTCCACCAGGTTTTCAGTGGCTCACTCCTTAGCAGTGGATTGCCTTTTCCTTCTTAATAGTCGGTCTTGTGTCTGGAAGCTCCATTGAAAGCTCATTACATTGGGAGATCCTGCTGGCATTTGAAACACCAGTGACACGGCTTCCAGCAGCACACAGCCATCATAGTACCACAGACTGGCAGACAAGTGGTGAAGACAGTAATCTCTCAGTTTGAAAGAAATGCTTCCGTGTTGATTGTTTGAACTCTTGCCAGCTGGTTAAGCACATACAGTCATAAAGCTGTCCTTTAAGGAACTCCATCAGCCATTTCTGACTGTCTTTTCGTAGAGTCCAGAGGAAGTGTTTATGGCGATCCGGAATCCTCTAGAATGGCATTGCAAGCAAATGGACCATTTCGTAGGACTCAATTTCAACTCTAACTTTAACTTTGCACTGGTTGGACACCTCCTAAAAGGTACAAGTGTTATGTTAGAATATTTTTATTAAATACTATCAAGAAGCACAGAGATAATGAAAATAAATCAATTTAGAAGTAATTTGGCTTAATGTATTACTTTAAATGCAAAGTATTCTGCTGTATGGGGTTATGTTATTTGAGTAACTTATATTGGAAAATGTTTTCCTAGAAATTTGATCACACCAGGAGAGAGAAGGGATAAGTTATTCAGTGGGGAGGGAGGAGGGCATGGGGAAAGAAAAAGAACTGCATATGTGGAGGGTTTAACAGGATATTGTTGTTGATTACATTTCTTGAAATGGGCAATATAAACATATAGTATGTTTCTTTAAACACACCCCCCCCCAAAAAAAATCACTCTAGATTTCTTATCCCTCAAACTTAAATAGTGTTCTGAAGGGCTTTAAAAAAAACAAGAAGAGGAAAGATACAATTGAAATGAACTTTGGAGTCTTTCATGACAAGCAAACAAAAAAGAAGTTTGATCACAGATTATCTTCAGTTTGTTTCTAATGAACTACGGCTCAATACTATTGACAAAAAGAACTTCACCTTTCGATACTTCCTTCCACCCACCCTTCTTCCAGTTTTCTGTATTGCTTGTAACAAGTGATAGCCACCAATCTCATGTCAGTGTTTACTTCCCTAACAGCTTCACTCCTCATTGCTTACTTTGCTTGTCACAGCTCTAGCATATTAATGCGGGGGTAGTCATGGCCCATGGGACATAGAGTGTCACCTACATTTCTGCCTTGGAAATTTTGTGAGAAGTGCGCTTACCTCCCCCACACACACACACACTTAAAATGTACACTGCCATCTGGTGGGGGCTTGTATAACCATGTGACTGAAGAAATGTGCCTCTTCCTACCAACCCAGCACAAGACTGTATATCCCACTAATTGTATGAAAAATGCACATTACCTCAACAAACTTTGTTTTCATTCAAAATTCCTTTTATTGCTGAAAACATATGCCTTAGACTAAAGATTTAAAACAGAAAAGAGCCCTGTCTTTTGAGAGAAGGTTGAGAGTTAGCAGCATGGGTGCCCCTGTGGGGCAGAAGGATGAGTAAGGCAATGCATGCACGAGGGGATGGCATCGTCCAATCTTCTTTTTTAAATTATATATTGGGAAATATTTATTGCTAATTACAAATAAATGAAATTTTGTCTTGAAGCATGGTGTAGCATGGGTCCAATCTTCTTAAGCAACACCTGACATGGTCCCAGTGGAGAATCACGCTAACACCTGAGGCTATTGATTTGTATCAAGTTAAATAATTGGTAGGGTTCCTGAGTTCTTCCCTACTGTACACACAAATCCACCACTGTCTGAGTGTATACATTCAATGTTGCCACTGCGCAAATCCATAAGATTTCTACAAAAATACTGTTAATTTTAATCCCTAAACTGCATTGGGATACTTTTAGTTTGAAATCCCATATTTTACAATGGAGTAGCATTAATGTGTACAAGCTAACTGAAGGTCAAACTTACCCTCTAGTCAACCCTATTCTTTACGCTCTTAGAACATACATTTCTTATATCATTAGCAATTGAGAAAAGCGCTTTCTTAATAAAAATAACGAAATAAACAAAAGCAATCTGATGGTGAATTCCAGCACACACATAATATAAATTTTACTCCCTGCCCTGTACTGCTTTGAGGAGTAGAGGTTCAGAAACAGCAGCATCTGCCCAAGTCCTTTTTCCCCGGAAACATAATTCTGTCCTACGCATGCTGGATACTTAATCATTTATGTACTTGAGTAACTGTTCACCGGAGACAGGAGTTATCCCTTGTACTTTAGATACACGAGGCACAGAATACGAACTCAACAGATAATGTGTTGACATAATGGATTGACTTGTTCGTTTTCTCTTTCGCAGGGTACAGGCATCCTTCACCTGCCATTGTTGCCAGAACAGTCAGAATCTTGCACACGCTACTCACTCTGGTTAACAAACATCGGAATTGTGACAAATTTGAGGTGAACACCCAGAGTGTGGCTTACTTAGCAGGTAAAAATGCAACGTAGATGAAATCAAGCTGGCAGCATCTATAGCTAAGCCTCATCACAAAGATAGATACCTGTGGCTCCTTTGGCTGGTTTGGGGACCAAGGGTAGTGTTCACAGGCCAGTCCGGTCGGTCGTAGGTCCTACTGTTGAAATGCTTCAAAGTTCTCCCAAAACACGTTTCCTTAAGAAGGAATTTGTATTACAATTTGAAACGAATTATATTTGTCATTCTTAAGGAAGCTAGAGTGGCACCCAGCTGTCTGTCGTAAAATCTGAGCATCTCACGCAGGTGCCCTGAGCCCCTAGGCAGCTCTCCTGAGTCAGCCATGCTCCTCTGAATTGGTCAGCCTTGCTTTTTATGCTTCTCCAAATGGACGGGCTGTTTTAAGCCAATCTACTTGCCATCGCCTATAAGTGACTTCCTGCCTCTTTAATAGTCATTCCTGATGCTGTTTATTCTACCTGGAATGGCTGCCTCACTGAGCCTCCCCATCCCATTACCCTTCCCTACATGCTCTCACCTGACCCGTGTTTCTCTCCTCGGCAGCACTTAGTGTAATGTATTTCTTTAAAATTGTCATGTAATGGAGAGTGCTGCTTCCCAGTTTAGCCTACCTCAGTTTGTGAGAACTTTTTGTGTGAACCGTTTGACCTTGGGTAGATCATGTAACACCTTAGAATGTTTTTCATTTAGAAATGAGCTTTATTCCTACTCTACCTACTTTTTGTGTTGAAATCAGCTATGTATTTAAGCCCTTGACAAGTATGATACTTTTTATTGGTTTTGAATTGTTTTAATGTATTTCATGTTTATGTACAGTCTTTCAGAGTACGCCATAAACCCCTTAAGGTAAGCAAGTCTACCCTACGTGTGTCTTACCTCCTTACGCCTGACCCTCTGTCAGACTCTGGACTCACATCTTTAGCACCCGTTAACTACTACAGGAGGCTGGAGGAAATGGACCCTTTTTCAAGTCATGCTTTTGGTTTATTAAACTTTCCCTTCTGTCGTCTTTTTTCTCGCTTAGCTTTACTGACAGTGTCTGAGGAAGTACGAAGTCGCTGTAGCCTAAAACATAGAAAGTCACTTCTTCTTACTGATATTTCAGTGGAAAATGTTCCGATGGATACTTATCCCCTTCATCATGGTGACCCGAGTTATAGGTGAGCAGACCTGTTCTCGTACAAATCTCACTTTTCCAAGCTAGTGGAGGAAAACTGTAGTGTAATCTAAAATATAAAGGGGACTTAACGATAATCTAAGGAACTCTGGTAGCGCAGTGAGGTAAGCATGGGCTGCTAACTGAGAGGTTGACAGTTTTAACCCACCAGCCACTCCATAAAGGTTTACAGCCTCAGAGAGCCTAGGAGCAGCTCTTCTTGTTTGAGGGGTCTGTGTACATGGAAATGGACTTGATGGCAGAGGATAGTAACAGCGAGATCTAGAAAGGGTGTGGAAATGAAAACTCATAAAGTCACAGTGCTTGATGGGGGCTAATAATGGAAAGGTGTCCTTGTCTTCGTCTAATGGGGCTTATGTTAACATTAGTTTGCCGTTCTGAAGCACAGCTCAGTTGAATAGGAAAACACATTAGTGACCTTGGAAATACTAGACTGTAAGAAAGGGCCAGGGAAGAAACGAACATGAAATACAAGTCACATTAACAAACTATGTATAAATTGTTGAATGGAACACTTAAGTTTGCTCTCTCAATTTTCATGTTCGCTATGATTTTAAGAAAAATGTAGGCCATAGGCTTAATGAAAACAACTAAGTTACACTGATTTGTAAGAAATACATGCCACTCTAGTTGTTGTATCTACGTATATCATCCAGATGGTATTAAATTCCCGTTGGTTCACAAAGAAAATGTTCTACATCCTACTTTGGTGAGTAGCAACTGGTTTTAAAATTAAGCCCATAAGCAACCAGCTGAGGGGATAGCTATTGATCTCTCCCGGTCCAGAGGCAAATACATTAGTGTAAACTTATGCTAACAATTGAAGACAACATGGAAATAATTAGTGCAGTAGACTTATGGATTATATAAACATCAGTCTTCAAACCCTGAGGCCAGAAGATCTGTGGATGGTGCCCCACTACCGCTACCAGGTGCTCTGAAAGAGATCACTTTAGAAGATCCCAAATAGAGAAATGTGTAACAAAACTCAAAATCATAAATATAACCCGGCTTACTGGAAAGATGAGACAGGGGAACCCCTGAGACTAAGGCCATTAGTCGCCTCTCGGGTCTGGAAGTGAACTCCCCCTCCATGGCTCAGATTTCAGCCAAACAATAGACAGGTCTGTAGGAGGAACAGTAACACTAATGGAGTGTGCGCACCTCAGAACAAACACCCATCTGAGATGAACAGGGCAGTGTTCACCCAAGGACAAAAAGCATAAGGATTAGGGGGGGAGAAGAAAGGGAAATGGGAAACCACTGAGAGGGTCGCAATGAACTGAATGTAAAACTGATGGATGAACTACTCCGTAAACTTTCACCCAGTTCACAATAACAAATTGGAAAATAATTTCTGATAATACAAATTTAGATGATTGAATCATCAAATTATACCCACTGGGATACCTGGCTTGGGATGGTACGTTTTTCACTGTGACGTGGCACTTTTATGAAAAACCAAACCAAACCTGCTGCCATGGAGTTGATTCTGACACATAGCAATCAATCCCTTACAGGGTTTCCAACACTACAAAACTTTATGGGAACAGATAGCCTTGTCATTCTCCCAAGAAGCTGTTGGTGGATTTGAACTGCTAACTTGCTATTAGTAGCCCAGTGCCTAAGCCACAGCACCACCAGTGCTCCCTGCTAGCAGTATCATTTGGGGACTTTATAGTTTCAATTGAATGAAAGAGTCGCCATGGTCTGAGTACAGTGTTGAACACAGAGAAGCGTCTTCTATTTGTAGTATGTAACTTAGCAACATCTGCTTTCTGAGTTTTGAAAAAGCCTTCAACAATATTCCACTGAGAATGGAACAGTATTTGCAAAAGTGTTTCCAGGCATATCCGGGTTTTTTTGATGGTTTTATTCCTCAGTCAGGCGCCCTGGTGGTGCAGAGGTCAAATGTTCAGCTCAACTGGAAAGTCAAAGCGTCAAAGCCATTCAGTGGGAGAAAGGTGTGGCAGTCTGCTTCCATAAAGATGGCAGCCTGGGAAATCCTAAAGGACAGTTCAGCTCTGTCCTGGAGGGTCCCTGTGAGTCGGAATTGACGCGAGAACCTTGGGTTTGGTCTGGTCTTCAGGTACCGCCACGATTCTATTGTCTTCAGGAAAGAAGCATCTGTCCCTTTCGCTATGGAAGGAGAAGGTGCATTCGCCTGTGCTCCTCTGTCAAAGTATAAAATCGAGGTTGATTTTCTTAATTGTTAATGAACATGAAGTTGCCTATTTCGACTTGATTTGCCCAGATTAAAAAAGCCGTGTAGGCCGGTCCTGTGCTGCAGTCAGTAAGTACGAAGTAAGTGCACAGGGCGTGATGACGGCGGGCTGCTGGGCTTCCTGGGGTGCGTGAGGAGCGTGAGGCTCAAAGCCTGTGAAGAGCGGCTTCAAGATGGCCTTGAGAAAGGGGACTATTCAGAAGGAACAAACAGTGGTTTGTACTTGTCATTGTGTTTGATTAATTTCTGTTGATTGTTTTACTCTCTCAGGACACTAAAGGAGAATCAGCCATGGTCCTCTCCCAAAGGTTCTGAAGGATACCTGGCAGCCACCTATCCAACTGTGGGCCAGACCAGCCCCCGAGCCAGGAAGTCCATGAGCTTGGATATGGGGCAGCCTTCCCAGGCCAACACTAAGAAACTACTTGGTTAGTTCCTCTCCAGTTATAGACAGTTTCATTGGTTTGTTTAGTCTTAATTAGAAAAACCAAATATTTCCTTTCACTCTTGGAAAATTATTTGAAAATGTTGAACATTGTCAGATTTTTCTGTTGGATTTGGCAGACTTCAGGGCCATCTATAAAAGCATTTGGAAGCTCAGTCAAGATGCAGAAGTGAGAGTGCGATCTGGAGGTGGTCTTTTCCTGGTTCGTAGACGGCACACACTGTGGTCCTCCTGGTGTGTCCAGTCTTGGCCAAGCGCAGGGGACGGGGAGAGACCTCACATGCCCCCAAGAACGGAAGCACCTTGCAAGGCCTTGAACGATCTGTAATCCCAAAGTTGTTATCGGAAAACAATGCACCAGTGTAGTATGAAGCTGTAAAAAAACAGGCTTATCTCTTCTTTGACAAGACAAAGTGAAGATAATAAGTTTTTAGAGTATGGTCAGAAAGTAGGATTCTTGAAATTGATGCTCCCTTCTGTCAGCATTTGCCAGTGAGGAGCTCGTCTGAGATGCTGCCGAGCTCTTTTCCCTTCTCAGCAACCGACCCACATCCCCTGCCCACCAGCACCAGCACCTCGGAGGAAATGCGCAGGTGCTCCTACACGCCTTTGGCTGAATTTTCCGTTACGGGCATAATCTGTGGTGATTAGTAGCGCAGTGACCAGACTGCATGGCTCAGCAAGCCTTGTCTTTTTGTGCAGCCATAGTTGGGTTCCTTTAGGTATTGGGAAAACACGTTCTCAAGGAAGCCAGGGAGCAATCAATCACTGAACTGTAGTTAATAATATGCCCATAAACCATGAAAGAAAGAGAAGCCATGCATGATAATCACTGGGGCTGGTCACAAAGCTCTGTTGCCTTTTGTTTAAGTTTTCTTCTGTTATATTTTACCATGAGCTTCTGGGAGTTTCCTGGTTACTCTGTGTCTTGATATTCTGGGTTTCCTGCCAAGGAAGTTATAAGTGAGAAACTAACCTCAGAGAAAATCCCAGTTTCAAACTCATTTCCTCCCCCCACCTCCCACTCCCCCGGTGCTAGGTGAAAACAGTATGGCCTCCTCTGCCCTGGAAGAACCCATGATTGGGCAGCTAAGACTTCTAATTAGCTGATGACAACAGCATCCTGGTGCCATTAAAGGAGTATGGATAGCCGTGGTGCTCAGGGACAGGCAACTGAGGATCAGGAGAAACTCGGAAAAGCTGCAGAGCGGAGATAACAGTTGGGCTGAGTCTTTAGATGTAACCACTGCTCACCAGGTAGACAGGGGCTAAGGAAATGTTGAGAACAGAGGAAGAGCAGGAATAAAAGAGCAGGAAAGGCAATTGGCACATAGAGTAAGATGTTATTTGTACCTGGATGATGGAGACGAGTAGGAAACGCAGTGTGAGGAAGATTGGAACTAGATTGTATAGACTGCTTTTTCAAAAAAATGGATCTTTTGTCCATCAGAGATCTTTAAACAGAGGAGGGACATGGCCAGACGTTAATTTCAGGAAAGCTTTTTCTGGAAGCAGTGTGGGGAAATAGGAAGCAATTTTTGACAAGGGGGTAAATTAGGGTGTTGGTTATTTGCACTTCTGAGGACAGAAAAAGAGAATCAGCTGTGGGGCTCTCCCCAAGGTTCTCAAGGGGACCCTGCAGCCTGAGGGGGCTGCGCGCACTCCAGTAGCTGCAACCACTGTGAACTCGTGGTGGGGGCTGCTGCCATCGAGCCAGCGCATGTGACCGTATGCACAACAGAAGGAAACCCCGCCGGTTCGTGCCAGCCTCGCGCCAGCCTCGCAACAGTGCCCATACTTGAGCCCAGGGATGCAGCCACCATGTCAGTCATTCTCCTTGAGGGCCGTCCTGCCCTCCACTGTGCCTCTGGGAAGGAGTACACTTTACCTTTGCTGCAGCAGTCAACCCGCCACCCCCATGATGGGCAGGCAAGAACCATGGGAGAACAAAGACCAGAAACCAGCTTTGAGATTTCTGAAGTCAAATAGATGAGACTTAGTTCCTGACTGATAAGTGGTCAGGTATATCGAGTTCGGGAAGAGCGATGTAGACACGTGGCACATGTCAGTTCACCAGCTCATGGTCATTGCAAGATCCCACGTGACAACTATCTAAAGCAGCAGTTCTCAACCTGTAGGTCGTGACCCCTTTGGGGGGGGTGTTGAATGACAACTTGTGGGTCGTGACCCCTTTTGGGGGGTCGAATGACCTTTTCACGGGTCGCCTGAGACCATCAGAAAACACATATTTCCACTGGTTGGGGGTCACCACAACATGAGGAACTGTATTAAAGGGTCGTGGCATGAGGAAGGTTGAGAACCACTGATCTGAAGCTAAGTAAGAAAGAAGAATGGGGACCACAGAGAAAGTAAATGTAGAATATAGTGTCCTGACCTCACGCAGTATGGAATGCATCAATTGTTAGAAAACCTGAATTTTTAATTGGATCATTGAGTCCCCAGCCCTGTGACCTCAGGCCAATCACTTAACTGCTATGTTCTTGCTCTCTTCAGATGTGCATGAAATGAAGGGGCGGGGCGAAGTCAGGGTTTGTTCTTACAGCTGTGCCAAGAAGTTACTGCCCTGGAATGTAATACAGAAGTTCCAAATAATCTAATTTTATTTCTTTTACCTTCAGTAAGGAGCAAGGTATTTAAAACACATAATTAAAGAAACTCAAAGCCAAAGTGAGAGTGAGCACTCTTTTCCAAGCATCTCCCGGTGTAACTCGTTAGTACTTCGTCACTCAAATTGTGTTTCAACGCTTGAAGCATTCAAATTAAACTCTGATTTTACCCAAGTTTAGAAATTCCTTATCTATTACTGATGACTAATTCACAGCACCAGCAGGATTGTTTAACATGAAAATGCTATTCAGACATAATTGATCTTGGCGATTTAGCAGTGCAAACCCCTGTATTTATTCCCGTAATGCTCTTGCTGTGGAGTTTGGCTTACCTCCAATTTAGCTAATCTGATCTTGGTGTAAAATGGACCAGTAAGGTGTATTCTAACCTCAAAATGGAAAGCTGTGTGGCCACAGCCCTTTGAAGGATGGTGAAGGAAGGGGAGTATTTCTACTCAAGTCTGGGTTCTTTGAGCCTTTACGTGATCGCTTGAACACTGCATGTCCAAACATTTTCTTTTAAACTATCCATATTCATAGATACTGGTTAATTAACTTCCGTATTCTGTCATTTTCATTTATAGGAACAAGGAAAAGTTTTGATCACTTGATATCAGATACCAAGGCTCCTAAAAGGCAAGAAATGGAATCGGGGATCACAACACCCCCCAAAATGAGGAGAGTAGCAGAAACTGATTATGAAATGGGTGAGAAACACAGTTGACTATTGATCTAGACAATTGAAAATACAAGGGGGCTTCAAACGGTTTATGGAAAAATGGACTTAAAAGATCCTGGAAATTTTCCACCAATTTTTTTTTTCCCACCAATAATTTGAAGCTCCATCGTAACATGTGAGGGATCGTATTAAAGCCAAGCTTACTTTTCAACCATTTCTTAGAATTGTTAGGGGGGAGTAGTGAAATATTTGTTCTTTTCTGAAAGTTAAGTTATACAGTCCTTAAAATGACAATTATCAAATCTTACCATAGTGAATGATAGGGGGGTTGCGGAGTGGAGATCCAAAGCCCATTAGTAGGCCACTGGAGATCCCCTTGCAGAGGGGTCTCGGGGAGGAGACGAGCCAGTCAGGGCGCGATGTAGCAACGATGAAAAATACAACTTTCCTCTAGCTCTTAAATGCTTCCTCCCTGCCCCCGCTATCATGATACAAATTCGACCTTGCCAGTTTGGCTAGACCAGAGGATGTACACTGGTACAGATAGGAACTGGAAACACAGGGAATCCAGGGCTGATGATCCCTTCAGGACAGTGGTGTGAGTGGCGATACTGGGAGGGTGGAAGGAGAGTGGGTTGGAAAGAGGGAACTGATTATAAGGAACTATATGTGACCTCCTTCCTGAGGAACAGACAACAGAAAAGTGGGTGAAGGGAGACATTGGACAGGGCAAGATGAGACAAAATAATAATTTATAAATTATCAAGGGCTCATGAGGGAGGGGGGAGCAGGGAAGGAGAGGAAAAATGAGCTAATGCCGAGGGCTTAAGTGGAGAGGAAATGTTTTGAGAATGATGAGGGTAATGAATGTACAAATGTGCTTTACACAATTGATGTATGTATGGATTGTGATCAGAGTTGTATGAGCCCCTAATTAAACAGGGGAAAAAAAGACAATTATCCTGAAACCTGGCTAAAAGTTACCATGATGCTATATTATACCACAGTGTAAACAACTAGCCAGAACTCTTTATGTAGGTATGTGGTAACACTAATGTTTCTGTTGCTATTTAAAAGTGTCTACTAAAAAGAAACTGAATTTTAGAATTATCGAAATACGATAGCTGACAGGTGACATGGTATCCAATCAGTGTGTCTAACAAGTACCGCTGCCTGCGTGACCCCTCTCTTCCTGCAGAGACTCGGAGGATTTCCTCATCACAGCAGCACCCCCACTTACGGAAAGTGTCCGTGTCTGAATCGAACGTTCTCTTGGATGAAGAAGTGCTTACTGATCCGAAAATCCAAGCCCTTCTTCTTACTGTACTAGTAAGGTTTATTGCTTTTATCAGGCTTGGTTTTGTCTTGTAGAAGTCGACTCCTCAGAAATCCTCACCTATTAAATATATGAAAGTACCAATCTTCTGCTTCCCCCCGGTTTAGCCACAAAGTAAAAATGTTGTGTATTACTTGTTTTTGCTTTTGCTTCTTGGCAGGCTACGCTGGTCAAATACACCACCGATGAGTTTGATCAGAGGATTCTGTATGAATACTTAGCAGAAGCCAGTGTCGTTTTCCCCAGAGTTTTCCCTGTTGTGTAAGTACCTCTTTTCATTTTTAATTAACTCTGTACCTGTCTTGAAACCATGTGCTTTGACTTAGGAAAAATACTACCCAGTAACATTCACTGGTTGTAAATAGGGCGTACTGAGACACTGCAGTAGCGATTTCAGCTTCTCATTAGTGGGGCCAGAGGTGACTAAAGATAGTTTTAGTCAATGCATTAGGAAGCTTCTTTCTTAATTGCTTTCCTTAAGTGGTTCATGCTCATGATGAGCATGGTTCACATCCTCATGGTACAAGCAAGCCGTTAGACAGCTCCCTGTAAGTCCGCACACCTCTCTGGCTTCTCTACAGTAGGGCTTTTGTATTTCTCTCTCCATAGCCGAATACAGACAAACGTGATCTAGTGGAGAGGTGAATGTTCCTTTCTCTGAAGGGCTGGGACAGCATTCCCCTCAAAGTACTGTTCAGATCTGAAGAACCCAGAGACACCTGGGAAGTTCCCTTCCTGTCCTAGGCCCTCTGGGCTGCACCATTCTTTCCACGTTTTTTGGTTAATCTCATTGAAACATTGCAGAATGTTATGTCATTACTGCTCAGTTATTTTTTTACTAATGCACTATATAATTTGATTTGAAGTAATTACTTTCTTAAGTCTGAATTGAATCATATCTTCCATCCCCTCCAAACTAATTTTCCTTTCCTTATTTGATCTGATGAAGCATTTATTAAGTACTGACTAATATTAAATTTCGCTTTCCCTTCCTAGGCAACAACAACAGAGAACAGGAAAAAAGCGATCAAACACATGCTTAAGTGGCAGGCAAAAGCCAACCTGGTCTAGGACAGAAACTTACCTTACACATAGCTTTGTGTCCATCCTGGTTATCTTTCTCATCTTCTTTTCCCTGACGACTGAAAGTAAAGCAAAGACAACTGCTTGCACACTCATTGTACAAAAGCCTCAGAAAGCGAAACGCACTCATCTCCCTTTTGGTCACATGGTCCAGGGGAATATGATAATATGCTTGTAGTGTATATCTTTTTGTCCTCCTCTTCTGAAAAGTGTGTGTGGGCGTTTATTTTTTAGGCACAATTTATTGGACTCTAAGATCAATACCCTGCTGTCATTGTGCCAAGATCCAAATTTGTTAAATCCAATCCATGGAATTGTGCAGAGCGTGGTGTACCATGAAGAGTCTCCACCACAGTACCAGACGTCCTACTTGCAAAGTAAGCAAGCATGTCGGGAGAAGGACGGCTGTGGCGCTGACGGGCGTGGGCTGCTGATAGCATGCACGGCACTAGAGGAGTCTGTCCACGCCTCCCTCTTCAGTGCTTCTTTTCATTGTGTGGGCAGTAAGATAGCTGGCTGACCGCTTCTTTTCGTTTTGTTTCGTTTTTGACATTGTGATTAAATACTGAGTGTATGTTAAGTGACTTCCAGTATGCTCTGGCCCTGTCCTAAGATAATGTTTTCCTTGTGGCTGTACAGTTTATTTCTGTTGAGATTAAGAGATGTAAGAGTAACATTTGATATGTTGCAGGTTTTGGTTTTAATGGCTTGTGGCGGTTTGCAGGACCCTTTTCAAAGGTAAGGAAATATATTTTGCTTTGTATCACTGACAAAACAGAAGCTTTGATCCACAAAAGTATGTGGACTTTAGGGTTAGGCAGTAGGGTGAGACCTGAATGATCCACACTAAACCCAGAGAGCTGTTTATCAAAACTGCTCCACCACAAGAGTCTCCAGAGGGGATGCATCTTTGATCTGCTTCAAGTAAACTTGTGTGACCATTTTTACAAAAATAACTCAGTTGCAGCTTGCCTTTTCAGAAGGGTGCGACAAGCCTCTGTAAAATGTCTCTGCCCTCAGTCTGAATGTGTCTGATAGGTCAGTGCACACACTTAACATATCATTGAAGAAAGGAGCATTACTTATGATTAAAATCTCCCTCCTGAAAACATTTTTCCCTCCCACTTGTTGGATTAGATCTGTCCGTCCCTGAATGTATCGTCAGTTGCCCCTGTCCAGTTTACTCTTTGATTGGCATTAGTTGCCACAGTGCCTATAAATATGTTTTTAACTTAATTCTTTTCTTCATATGCAGTCTCTCTCCAAATTGATTAAGGTTCCTTGAAGGCAGGACTTCTGTTTCTTCCCCACAGTTTCTAGCACAGTATTCTAGATCTACACCTTGTTCTCATTTTTAAGAATCGGGAAGTCAGCTTGTCATTTTGTTTAGTACACGAATTCCTGGATTCTCTCTTGACATGCAAGAGCTGTCACTAAACAAGTGGGCCTGGAGTTCCAGAACTAAGTAGGTCTGTCCTGCAGTGGCTGTGGTCATTTGAAGAGCCAGTGGCCATCAGAGCCCCTCCCAGTGTCTAGTTGGTTGAACCTCTAAATGGTGGCTAGACTGATGATGGTCTGCTAATTCGCTCTGTTTTGGAAAATGGGCTAGACACCATTCCTGATGATTGAATTGTCTCAGGACCAAATCCTGTCTTTGTCTGTGCATGGCTTTCAGTAATTGCAGCCTCATCTGGAAGCTGTAAGTGTGAGCTGAATAAATGTCCCCGTTATAAAGTCACTTGGTAGTCTATAAACGGTATTCTACACTCCCTCCCTTTTGTTAGCGATCAAAAGAAGAAAAATAGTAAATTAAGCCCCAAACAAAAATTTAATTTAATATTTTTGGCTTCAAAGGGGATTTACAAAAAGAAGAATGGAGCTAAAATAATTTCCTATTTTCCATTACAGCAAACACAAATCCCAGACTATGCTGAGCTTATTGTTAAGTTTCTTGATGCCTTGATTGACACGTATTTGCCTGGAATTGATGAAGAAACCAGTGAGGAGTCCCTCCTGACACCCACATCTCCTTATCCTCCTGCAGTGCAGAGCCAGCTTAGTATTACTGCTAACCTTAACCTTTCTAATTCCATGACCTCACTTGCAACTTCCCAGCATTCCCCAGGTCAGTAAATGTCATCTTTATATAAAAATGTGAGCAATAATAGTAATATACCACCATTAGGAATTCCATCGTTCTTAGTTCGTGGAAGATTCGCTCCTTTTTCTCATGCGGTTCACCGTACCTTTCTTCTTTCCCTTGTAGCTGACTTGAAGTGTGTTAACTCTCTCAAGCTTTCTACTTTCAAACAATTACCCATGAGCTGGTGAGGTGTTCAGACCGTCCCATAGTATTGTCAGGCTGGCCAGGTTTCAGAGTGTGTGCAGGAGAGCAGCCTCGGCTGCATCACCCTGGGAGTGAGCATGACTGTCATTCTCTAATAGCTGTACTAACACTGCCCCAGAGGCTTCAGTGTCTCTGCTGCAGCGTAGCGCGCGCGCGCGCACACACACACACGCACACACACACACACACGCACACACACACACACACACACACACACACACACACACACGGCAGTGAGGCCTCCCTTCCTGCTGCCAGCAACAGTCCAGCCATCCACAGAGCCTCCTGAAAATCTGTGTGTAAACAGGCAGCCAGACAAAACCAAGTCACCTCAGGAAATAGCATCTGAACGCCCCAAAGCAGGTTTCTACTGGGGGGTCATCAGTAGATTCCAAGTGGGCACCTGAGAAGTGGGTACGCAGAGAGCTAAGTGCTAGGGCAGGGCTGGGGAAATGACAAGCCTCTGGGCTCGTTCAGGGGCAGCTCACAGACAGACGCTGCCATGTGTGTCGTGGGCACAGTGGATAATGAAGGAAAGCTTCCGTTACTCTCAGGGTTTCCGATTCAAAAACATGTTTCTAACATGATTCAACAGCATTCTATTTAAAGTTCCATTATCTGAAAAGTTCATTTCTGAAACCCCTCATTATAAAAGAAGTACAATGCATAATCCTTTTACAGTGTCCGCATGGATTTTCTTGTAAAAAATTAAATGATGTATCCTAACTATTTTGTGATGCTACGGGTCCATGAGTAGATCCCAAGTTTGTAATCCTGCTTTTGAAAATTCCTGAAGATATTAGCAAATATAACATCCAATATGTGTCATAAGCCATTATGTAAAATAATCATAATCCACCATTAAACCTTAATACCACCGTTTTGATCAGCAGAGGAAACAAATTATTTTATTCACCATTTGTCTGCACCTTGCCAACTCCAGTCAGGTAATCCTTTTCCCTTGAAAGAAGTCAGACCAACTGTTTTCCTCCCTTGTACCACGTCAGGATCCCTGGTAGCACAGGGATCAAGCGCTTGACTGCTAACCAGAAGGCTGGACCCCCACCCACCCCCAGCATCCCTCACCCCCTGACCCCAAGAGAGAGACAGCAGTCTGCCTTGGAAAGATCAGTCTTGGCGGCTTACAGGCAGTTCCCCTCCTCCCTGTAGGTCACCAGGTGTTGAGATTGATGGGGTGGCAGCAGGTTTGGGTTTTATATCTCCTTGGCTGTACTAATTTTGTAGGTCAGTGGATCTCTGTGTGTGGTCCCTAGGCCCGCTGCCACATCGCCATCACCTGAGACCTGGTGGTTAGAAATGCAAATACATCCCAGACCTCCTGCAAAAATGCTTCTGAGGGCAGGGCCCAGCGGGCAGCCCGTGGATCTTCTAAGTTCCAGTGATTCTTGTGCACACTGGAGCTGGAAAACCACTTGCTGGCCTATCCTCCCCCACTGTCAGCGTTTAACCATTAAAGTAGGGGAAACTTAAAATGGACTTCTTCCACATACTGTGGTCTCTCTCCCCTTCAGCCCCAATATGATCTGAGCATTTGGGAGCCAGGAGGACACATCAGGTGGATTTGCTCGCGGCTCTCCACTTTGTGTGCTCTGGGAAGACTGGTGTAGAACAGGTAGTGATTGCCCCTCACACACCAGCTGAGAGTACCCAACAAGCGCAGAAAGCTTTCGCAGCCTTTGCTTTCCTGTAGTGAACAGTTTCACGCTTGTTCACCACACCAAAGACTCAGCTTCTAGGGCTGGCTGGCATCCCCCCCCCACCCCACCCTAAACCACAGGCTCCTGAGCGAAAATTCAAACTGCTTTTTAGATATGTAGTCCCTGACAGGAATAGACTAAGTAAGCATGGGCTTACTTGTGCTTACTACTCTTTAATAACTAGCATCACACGTGGTGTGTGTGTGTGTGTGTGTGTGTGTAACAGATTAAGAACAGATGACTGAATAAGTGGTGGGGGTTTGTGTGTGTGTGTGTGTGTAACAGATTAAGAACAGATGACTGAATAAGTGTCCCTAGTCACACAGCTCTTACTTAGGACAAAGTTCATACTCTTGCACCATGTTCATCGCTGCCCATTTCTCTTTGTCTGCCTGTCTGTCTGTCTGATTACTTCTGACCTGCCTAACCTTCATTCCACCAGGCCTTTTCCTCCATTATTGTTGTTGTTGTCAAGGTGGTGATTTTTGTGATGGTCAAACACTAAAGTTGATCACAATTAGAAAATTAGTAGACCATGTTAGTCCTCCGGAATTTAAAGTTTGGTTCATTTGAGCAAACTTTTACCTTTTAGGCTGCTAAAATACTGTTAAACTTGTCAAAATAATTGTGTTTGCATTAACTTCTTTCTCTTTTTGAATGGGTACTTCAGCCACTCTTTGTCCACTAACGGAGAGAGTAAGAGTCAGATTGAGCATACGGGTGTCAGTGCAGGTTCCCTGCTAGTGGATAAATCACCATGGCCAGTGACGACTGCACTGTAGCCACATCATTGGCTTTGAAAAAAATGCTACTCTGCAACCTCCTCTTTTAAAATTGCCCATACGAAAACTGAGGAGCCCTGGTGGTGCATTGGGCTACTAACCTCAAGGTCAGCAGCTCAAATCTACCAGCTCCTGGGGAGAAAGATGGAGCCATCTCCAAACGACTTGCAGCCTTGGAAACCCAGGGGCGGCAGTTCTACCTCTTCCTGTAGCACCACTGTGAGTCTGAATCGGCAGACGTGCTGTCTGTCGTATTGCTTGGGGGTGGGTCATAAAAATGAGAGACTAGACTGTCTGGTTTGGGTTACAGTTTCAGACTCTGGTGCCACCTGCATAGTGGTGTCAGAATGGCCGTTTGACTAGCCTGCCACCTATGGGGATTTCTGTTCTCAAAGGGAAGTGGTGCTTTACAGTTAACGGGATTAATTAGGTGGAATCCCTGTGTTTGGTTATTCCCATTAATAAATTGTGTGGCCTTTGCTTTGCTTTGTTCATTTTACTACATATTTTTGTAGAAAGGGGTTATCTTTTATTTTTCTTTTTTTAAAATCTTTTCACTAGTAACTTTTCTCTCCCACAAAATCCATTTGTATCTCCAAATTGTGGTTTTATTTCCATGAACAGAACCTAGCTCACCTGCGTGACTAATGATTATGTTTTAGTCACTGGCTCCTGTGGAATACTACTCCTGGTAAGAATTGACACTGCCACTCTAATTAGGTTATAAACTTCCTATCTTTACCTCCATGTAACCTTGTAGCCTTATCCACCTACTTGTTTATGGAAGTGATTTGCTTGCTCTCCAGGGGCTGAAAGGCGTAATGACTTACCCAGAGTGTCCGCCCCACATTTCCACTTTCCTCTTTGGCTGATACGAAATTCTGGTGGCTCAGTGCATACCCACTTGGCTGACAATTTGAGCCCACCCAGTGACTCCCCGGGAGACAGGCCTGAAGACCTGCTGCTCCCGGAAAGTCGATAGCCTAGGAAATCCTATGGCACAGTTCTACTCTGTCACTTGTTGACACCCAGCCATCACGCTGAGCAGTCTCGAAACCCAAACGGCTGTCCCACCCCAAGCCCTAAGCAGCAGTAAAGAAACTGTGACGCTCCCATAAATTGAGGAAGTGAGTGACATGCCTCTCAGCTACACAAGTGAAGACTGTAGCGCCCTAGGCTAAGAGGCAAACGCCGCTGCCGTGCACATGGCTGGACCTGTCACTGCGAGCTCTCGCTGCTTGCTGGAGCCCTGGTGGTTTCCCACAGCGCTGAGCTGTCTTCACTTTGGACTCCAACGTTCTCTTCTACCCCATAATCCAGTAGATAACAGCTTCGTGAACCTGCCAGCCTTAAACCTTATTCCCCTGAAACTTGTCATGGTAATTCCTCACTCCCAGCTTTGAAGAACGGTTTATCTAAAACTTAATTCACACAGATGTCTCTGGAAGGGCATCTTTCTTAATAAATTTTCATGGCCTGCTCTTCCATCCCCTTCCCCCAAAGGCAGTAGTTTTTAAGTCCTCAACTAGAAAGCCATACAGGACTCTCCTGAGTGCATCCCACATAGAACCGAGCGTGGCACCAGTGGAGCCCGTCCACAGAGCTCAGTGCCTGCAAAGTGGCACCACTGTGGCCCTCCTAGCCAAATGGGCATAGCGCTTTGCCTCTTGCTGCCCCAAGTGTTGTGAAGAGAACCCTTAGCGTTTGTTCCATGGTGGATAAGATTCTTTCAGACTGGATGCTTGGGCTCATTGTTAGATCCTTAGCTAAGTATGAATTTGGATTTGAAAATAAACTATATTGGGCTTAAAAATCTTCTTAACTTTCTCTAGCTTAAAGTCAAACCACAAGTGGTTTCTGTAGCAGATGTGCAAAAAAGCTTTTTATTTTAAAGCCCTGTTTGGGATGCCTCCTAACCATTTTGTCTAGGTATGCATTTCTAGTGCAGTCTCCCTGCATCCTCACGAGAGAGTGAAGGCCAAGATCGGGGGATTAGCTGAGCTAGGTGCTTTACCTTAGAAAGTCAAAGAGATGCATTTCCAGGGTGTTGACGTCACATCCATTCTAACTCAGAGTGACACTTTAGAACAGAGTAGAACCCTGTGGATTTTCCGAGAGACAATCTTTACATGAGCAGAAAAGCTTCAACTTCCTCCTGTGGCGGGAAATCCAGACTACTGACTGTGTGTAGCCGCCCGGCATAGCCCACTCTGCCCACAGGGCTCCTTCCTGTATGTCTACTGGGGTTTAAATGTCCCTTCTCCAGAAGGAACTCAAA